AATGAAGAGTTCACTTTTAATTATTCAATTGCAACACCCGTATTAATTGAAAGGTTCTCATGCAATTAATCCTATTATTCCCCGCTCCTATCCAGTATATTTAAAGAAAATAAGAAAATTTCCATCCAATCAGAAAAGAGTGTTTATCCTCCAAATTGTGTGAGTGCGCTTTTCATAGTGTAGACGTAGCAATCGAATGAAAAAGGATTGAACATTTTTTATTTTCTCGGTAAAATTCACAAGAAGTACCCGGAATGGTCGAAAGGAACAATTTCAACTTATTTACTGTGTGTCGTACAAGACTCCATTGTGGAACTTGCGATTCACATGACTGTCCGATGTGTCATAAAACTCCTTTTGCCCTTACACCTATAAACTTCATGATGGCATTTACAAAACCAGGCGACTAAGAAATTCCGTTCACAAAGCATGCATCTTGTTCATTGGCTGTGTGGCGAGGCAACAGGGTTAGATGAGTCTGCACGGAGAGTCTAACCATCCCAAAAATGTACCAATTATGCACACAATTATAAATATACACCTTATTTATCGCGGAGAAGATATTTGGACTTCCCAGAGGTCCTCACAAACTCACCAAGTCGTGACGGTTTCGGTTTTGGATGGCGAGGATTAATCTTCTCCTGGGCGTTGATGAGTGATTAGCGACTTTGAACGAAGCAGTGGGCCTTGTGAAGGGGGCGAATGGTGAAAGGGGGCACAACGGGTCCTGTATTCCTCAAAAGACCCTTGTTCTCGTTTAATCGAGGGGCTCGTAAACCTTCCAGACCAGACCAGATTCACTTCCGGTGGATTTTCGCTTCAGTGGTTATCGAGGCTCTGCATCCTCTAGACTCTTGAGTCTAGAGTCTAGACCCTCTGACGAAAATCTCACTCAGTCCCACTCGGAATGCAATGCCATTCGAGAAACTCTTGATTCGAAAGGGAGACTCATCCGGGTTCATCCTAAAATCGTTGAGAAGTTCGGTCTTTTTTCTCGGTCTCGATTTAATCGTTGTACCACCTTAGTTCATCTTACAGACTATATGCAGTTCTTATCGAATAATTTAAATGTAAAGAATATGGGGAAAATACGCCTGAATGTTAACATTCGTAATTCTGCACTAGTGGGAGTCATACTTACCTAATTGCAATGTGCATGGGCTTATTTGTTTCCAACGCACCTTTAAAATTGTCTGGAAATTTTGTTCTTTTGCACTAAGGCTAGAACGTTTGCTGAAAAGAAATCAGAAGTTGAAGATGGACTCAAGCCCCAGAAGAATGACGAAACTTTGTAATGTGCAAACACAACACGGTGGTTCTTCCTCCATTCGACTCCAAGCAGGGGTCCCAATCCGTTTTCAATATGCTACTAATTGTATTGGGTTGGAAAGAAAGTCTTGCAACACTTTCTGACGAAGCCCTGCGGAACGCCCTCAACGCGAAGCCGAACGCCACCACTCGCGAATCGGCGACTACACTTGGAGTCACCCATATGGCCATCGGCAACCATCTGAACGACCTCGGCTATCGGAAGGTTTACTCGACATGGGTCCCTCATCGGCTCGACGACTCTGAGCCGTGTCAGTGTCTGCGAATCACTGCTCCTTCGTCCGCACAGAAAGGACCTTCTGAAGGAAATCGTTACTGGAGATCGAGCTGGGTCCTCGACGTCAACCATACTCGCAAGAGTCAGTGGCTTCCACGAGGAGAATTGCCGCCACACGAACCGAAACCAGGGTTCCACGAGAAAAAGGTTCTTCTCTGCTCTTGGTGGGATTCAGAAGGAATGTTGTACTATGAGCTCCTGCCAACCGGTACCACTGTGACTGCCGTCGTCTACGCTGCTCGACTTCAGAAGTTGGCTGGCGTCATTCAAAAAGAGTCTCCCAAACGCGACAAGGTTCTCCTTCTGCATGACAACGCTCGTCCACGTGTTGCGAAGATGACTCGCCAGACGATTTCGGAACTGGGCTGGGAAGTTTTACCCCATCCAGCGTATTCTCCGGACTTGGCCCCTTCCGACTATCACTTGTTCCGGGCCCTCGAGAATCACCTGCGGGACAAGGCCTTCGACGATCGAGCACGGCTCGAAAATGATGTCGGCCGTTTCTTCGCTTCGCAATCGCCAGAGTTCTGGGCAAAGGGCATCGAGCAGTTACCCGTGCGTTGGGAACATGTCATAGACAACAATGGTCATTACATTGAAGACTGAAATTGCATTTCAATAAAGTTAGAAAATTTTGAAAAATTTGCAGAGTGTTGCAAGACTTTCTTTCCAACCCTATAAATGACTTCTTATTGGCTTGCTTTGACATGGTCAATCTTAATTAAATTTCACAAGTATCAAAATATATAAACTATTATGGGTCCTGGTTTCGTGAATATATCAATTGTGAGAGCAATTTTCGGGTTAAAAGTTCAGTGCTCTTTGATCAATGCTAAATTCTGATTACTCCTAAAAAAAAAAAATGTTCCTGTCACAAAAATATTGATTACCAAAATGTTTGGTCATGTTAGGGTAAAACCATATAAGTTCGGACACCATAAAATAATAAGTTAGCATCTACGAGGTCACCCTAAGAAACAGCTCTTCCAAGCTGCGAAGAACTGTTTCTAAGGGGGAGTTCAGCAATGCTTGGTTTTTAACGATGATAGTGATAGTGTTTTGTGGTTTGGGAGTTACCAGACTTCATCAACGAGGATCTGTTCTCTCGTAATGGATTGCAAGTTGCCAGTGATGTTTCCCCATTTAAGACTGCGTCGATGTCACAATATCGTTGGGGAAAAAAATGAAAGGGAGAGAAGCGAAGGGGAGAAGCAGGAGGCGACTGCTTCGGATTTAATGGTTCTACGAGGGGATTGTGTGCAGCTTTCCGCAGGACCTTTCTGGCTCAATGTCGAGGAAAAGCAGGTCGTAATGCTGAAGGTCGCCCTTAGTGTAAATAAAGGCAGAAGAATTGAAGTGATGAGGTTAGGAGGACAAAGTCAGGGAGATGCTGCGTGCATGAGGGAGGGAGGCCGGGTGCCGTGCTAATTTTAACCTCGCCTTCTGCCAAAAACATGGAGCCTTTCTGCTCCATACCTTCAGTTCTCCCCCTCCTTCTCACCTTCCTCGTGTATATTATACCCTGTTCTCCGAGCCTCTCCGGCTCCCCTTACGCATGTATTCTAAAATACCTCTACTATAAGAACCGACGCCCTCCCATTGATTACGGTTTATTTGGTGCAAGGTGGTGCGGACGAAGCCCCCGTGACACGACCTACGCTCGTCTGGTAGCTCCACGTGTCTTTTCCCGGGTCTTCGATCACCAGTACTCAGTGAATCGGTGCGACTGTGTGGCAGTGTTGCACGAGAGAATCCCCGAGAAAAGCGAGAAAGATGGCAATCTCAAGGAGATATGCCTTCTACGAATTCGACGACCCACCCATCATGACCCGGCGTGACCCGTCGTGGTACATCTCCTACGCCCCTTCGAGAGTCATTTCCCCGGTCTGTATGCCACACGGACGCTTTCCTTCCCATATGTCGCATGCATCCTTGCCTACGTAGCCCCTCTGCAATTGTTGGCTCCGATGTTCTCCTGTCCTTGCAGTTCGACCCCTCGTACACTCCCGTCGTGAGGAGTGGAAATCGTCTTCTGATTTTGCCCAGCATCCCGAAACGAAAGGTGGCATTCGAAATTTCTTAACAAACTCTCGACTAACGACGGTCTTAGCCTTAGCCTTAGGATCACCATTGTTGGGGATTAGTCGTCACAGACATGGAATCCCGCATAAATGTATCAATACAATCATTTTCAACGGTTCATTATGCCTGGAAGCTTACAATTTCTTTTTTTACCAATGGAAATTTTCTTCAATATCAAAGTATTCGGAAATTTATAAGTGAATGAGTTTGTTGAGTGAAAACAATGGAAGAGGCTCTGATTGCTCTACGTCTTTAAGTTGAGGAAATTCCGCTGTTCATTATGACAACATTAAGCGATGTTTGTTTGCCTACTCGTGGTGAAGTACAAAAAAATTCCAGAAAGGCAGTTGTGTTTGTTTGTAGGATGGTTTCGCCCATGTAAGTCTCGCCAAAACATGAAATGTCTGTAAGCATGGTAGTTCCATGGAATCATTTAAAGCTGCCCAAAGTAGAAAAGTGTAGTTTTTTTGTTTCCGGTTTTGCATTCCTCGAACCGGTCTTGCCGCAGGTTTTGCACCTTACCTATGTTCTCAAGATTCGGCAGGTGCTAAGAAAAGAGTTCTCATTCCCGAGAAGAGAAAAGCAACAGTTTGCCACAAATCGACCAAATGTTCTCAGACTGTTATGCTTGGCAATGGGCAAGAATCAGCGGGAGTTCTGTTTTGAGACGAGACAGAGAGAGAAAAAAAAACCAGTTTGTAGCTGCTTTCTGGAAACCCTTATGTCTCTGTCCATGCACGATTTGGAATGAATTCATCAATTTTCAGGACGTGAAAGCCAAAGGGGAGTTGATTTTCATCGCTCCAGGCTTCGGGAAGGTAAACAGTACTTCCTCAAATAGCATATCATACATGCACTAATTCAATTACCGACAGTCATCAGTTTACGATTCACATTCCATTTTTTTGCACGATCTACACATTAGCTGAATCGCGCTTCTCCTTGGTTCTTGCTAATTTTTTTCCTTTTGTACGTCTAACACCCCGCGTAAGTTTGCAGTCGTTTAGCAGGTTTCATATTGAAGATTTGCCTTTTTTTGTTTCGTTGCTAATGTCATTTTAGTTGTGATTCTCACGGACAATGCTCGACAGATTTGGCAAGCTAGAATTTCCATGCATTTGTGTTGCCATTCACATCTTGGCTCGTGTTCCTAATGGCCTGCAAGGGGAAATTTATGGGACTCCTCCCGTGTATTCTTATCGGTCTTATTTACAAATGCCAAGGCACATCCGCTCTTGTATTGTAAACATAAATTTAAAAATCTCCACGTAGGTGTCCTTGACAGTGGTGCTCCTCTGTTGATTCGCTGAAAATGCATGTTATTGTAAAGGTATTAATTAAGTAGTATAAATAATGATAAAATATATGACGGAGGCCACAGAAAAACGGTAAAAAAATAAGTATTTTCGAAGATTCGAATTCATTGCTCTAAACTTAGAAGAAAGCCCTGATAAAAAAAAACCGGGAGTGCATGAAGAGCTGCCAAGCTTATGAAGGAACAGATTTCAGCAGGTGGGACGGAGTAATGGATGAGAGATCTTTCGCTTACGTATTTCCGGAGGAAAGATGGAAAGGAGCGAAATGGTGCCAACACCTACATGCACCATCTGATGGATTTGACACCCACGCAGTCATCTTACACAAAGGATTCCCTCACTTTTCTGCTCGTGCCGAATGCCTTTGCCGTACGCCATCCGGTACAAATATCCGCTAAAAGCAAAGCCAAAAAAAAGGGGGGATTGAGAGAGGGTAGCGAAAGACTCTCTTCTAGTTCCATTCTTGTAACAAGAGTTCGACTTAGAGCGTGCGAAACGCGGATGCTAAGGAATGAAGTAACAACAACAACAAAAAAATGATTGAACCTCAGAGATACCAGAGAGGAGACAGGAGTGTTGGCAAAGCACCAAGTCGACTCTCAGCTTTCCCGTGAGACAGAACCGCGTTTGTCTTGGATCAAAATCTTTCCAGGATTTTCCTCTCTCATCCATTAGCATGCCTTGTCCCTCACTGTGAAAAAAAAACCCTTCTCTCAGACCGCAACCTTGGCATATTACCCACGGAACAGCTGAATAAAGGAGACCCCGAAGATGAAGAGGCACAGTCTAAGGAAGCCAATCAGGCAAGGCTTTGTTCTCGACAGAGCATGACATTGTCTTCCCTCCGGTGTAAAGGGCCAGACGTTCCACCACGGAATCCCGAGGATCGCCCACCAGAGGATCACGGAAACGGCTGCCCCGCCTCACCACTATCGACACACTTACCTCCCCAGGGAGTATGACCCCGTCCTCCCATTGGTCCCGAGCCGACCGTACACTTCTGCTTTCCTCGACGAGCTCGATCACAATCCGCGCATCTCGGTGGGTTTCCATCCGTTTCCCCTTCCTGAAATTCGATTCGTTCGAGTTGTGATTCGTTTTCGGTCGTTTGCAGCTGCTGGAGGACCAGCTGACGAGAATGCGCCACGATACGGCTGCATTGAGTGACAGACTCCACGGGAGGCCGGCTCCAGGTGCCCGTCCTCGTGTTACTGCTGGCTATAGCAGCTATTCACCTGCGGAATACACGCCCCCGTACGACACATATAGCCTTTTTCTCTCTCCCTTTTTTTTATCCTTTCGTACGATGTAATAAGAACGTGATGCTTAGATTGCTTCTCTCTCCTCTTCCAGACCGAGGCGGCCACGAAATTATCTTCTAGAGATGCCGGAGAACGTCTACACGGCAGTCATTCGACCCTTGAAGTGTGTCATGAACGACGTCTACACCATGGCTCATTATTACACCATGCCTAAAATGCCACCTCCTAATCGTAAGTTCTCCGTTCGTACGGAAGTATTCCGAATTGGTCCGATGAGACGTCATCACCGAAATTTGTCGATAAAATTCTTGAGAGAGCAGGAAAGTATACTGACAGAACTCTCACGTAATTGTTTTGCCTGCCAGAATCGTTACGAAAGTAATTTACTGCCTCGATCTCTCCTTCTTCCGCGAGCTCATTAGCAAATGATATTTTTAATTGCTTGAAAATTAACTTAATATACCATTCCAAAAAAAAGCCGAGCAGCAGAGTAGCAGCGGGCGGGACGAACCCTTCCATCTTCCTTTGCTCGCCCTGTCGAAACTCCCGTATGAGTAGTCATATGTTGTATGCTGAATCAAAGGGGACGAAGTGAGCTTCCAAATAATATAAAATTCATCGTGATCTGGGCGCCGGGTCTCGAGCAACCAATGAGAAAAGAGGCTCTGCTGAAGAAGCTTGGGGAACGCTCAGGCATTTTTTTATTATTTAGAATGGGATATTAGAAATTCAATCGCCCAGACAGAGGAAAATGTCCAAAGAAGTCATGGAATTGCCTCCCTTGTTTTCAGAGGCACCAAAGAATCTAGGACGCGAAAGAGTTCAATGTCCATAAATTTCACTACTGGGTATGGAAGGCGGCAACGCTGTCAGGCTTCATCTTCCGCAGCCTCCAAGGATCTGAAGTCGGTAGGGGGATGAAGGGACGCATTTGCGATTCTCATCTGCTTAGGGTTTTAAGGGAAGCAGTTCGAGTGGCTTTTATGGGCATGTTTCTTTCAGGCTGAGTGATTCATAGTATTTCCATTGTCATAGGAATTAAATTCTGCGTCTCCTCTGAGTGGTAACGTGACCTCATTTAAATCCTTTTTTTGTTTACTCTGTTTTCAGGGCGATTAAAATATACCATATTAAATATATATGGTATATTTTAATCAATGCTTCAAGTGCAATTTTTCTCCTACTTCCAGTCGTTTACTGTAAGTACATGGATGCACACGGCGTTCCTGATCACGCCCCACACCACACAACTTAAACCCTTTGAAAGCACCTTAGGACGCTCTGGTGGTTCTGGTTACAGCATTCGAGAACTTTTTTTTTTTTTTACAGAAAAGCCGATCGCACTCGGAAGGTACAAGAGAATCCTACTTTTTGCAGAATAATCTCAGAGTAGCGTACCGATTCGGTGGATTCAGACGTCGAAGGGTTACGAAAAGAGAACAGAAATACTAACAATAATCGTCACAGGCAGATAATTACACCTCGTGTTCTGAGATCGCTCGTTACTCGAGTATATCGGGGACATTGATGGGAAATACCCCTGTAGGTCCAGGGGTGAGCCATTTGTCGTGTGTGGCATACTCCAGGAGCGTGCCCATCAACAGGAGGTGCGGTAAGATGCACGATGAGGAGACCTTTGACTACCTCGACCGTATGAGACGAGCTCACAGCACTCTACCCGTCCGAGGTCAGCAATGCTCTCATCGCACCCGATCGAATTCGTTTACGGCTTGGTTATTGCCCCAACCCGAGCATGCTCCTTTTTGGTAGTCTCGACTGAACACCGACGATCACTCACACGTCCGGAACGTAGGAGACATTCACTCGCACGAGACAACCGAAAATACGAACTTGTCGGACGGGCATCAAGGGAATGGCATAGTTTAGTCTTAGCTCTGTCTCACTCGATTTTGTGTTCTTTTATTCAGACGCAAGAACACTGGAGCCTAATTTGGCGAGCCACTGAGGAAATGTTGCCAAGAGCAGATCTTTCTGCCATCGTCAGCCCATTTCGCTGTCAATTATTGCGGCACCCCTCTATTCCCCCTTTTACTTGCTTCCCTTCGACCTCTTGCTTCTCGCTTGTCGTATCGCACTTCATAATTGCTTTTAACCCTGATTCTTCTTCTCCCTTTCAGCCGGTAAGGAACTTTTAGGCAAGGGGACTGAAGGTACCTTAGGGGCTAAGAGAGAGAGAGAAAGAATCAGGCCTTAGTTTTTTTTTTCATTTTCCCCCGAGTCGAGGCAATATCCACCTTTGAAAATGATGTTTGATATTTTCCTTTATGTATAGATGAGACTCTCCGTCGCCGTCGGAACGTATACGTGATGCAGCCTCACGAATATCTGCAGCCTTACGACTCTTTATTCGAAAAGGATCGGATTCTAAACCCCTCACGCCGTTCATCCTTCTAAAATTCTCTTTTTGCGGTCCCTCTCCACTAATCTTCTTAACCATGTGTGCAGGTGCTCTCTGCCTCGAATAAAGTTCCGGCATAATCCAATCTCCTTGCTATCTTTCTTTTGCAGGCTCCATGCACTCAACGCGGTCACTGACACACGACGAGAAGTATCTGCCCGTACCAATATAACAATTTTACGAGGAGGTCGACTAAGGCAGGATGAAATACGCGTGCGAAAGGGTGATGACACAGGTGGTGTACATAACGGTAACGAGACTCGAATGATTAATGAGGATTTCAATGAGTTGCAGATAAACTTGGAGTCCCGACAGGAGATTTATCTGACACCTGTCATCGGGGAAGGCAGATGCCTCGTAAAGACACCTGAACTGGATCCAGGTTCGTCACTGCGTGGGAGGGGGACCGACCGTCAGGCCTCAGTTCGCAGCGCTCTCTTGTGAAACATCACTCAAGTAACTGTTTAATATCATACGGAAGAGATGGTGGGACAATCTAGGCACTTGCGACTTCGCTTGGCAGGACTGTATGACGCAGAACTTGGAACCGGAGTTGATGACTGACCGAAATCTACGTTAGCAGGGCGAATGTGACCCCTATGACGTGTCCATAGTCCTAGACAATGAATGTTTACCATTGATCATAGCATTGTAGAGATAATCCAGTTGAGATGGTCCAAGTAGGACATTTTTTTTTTACCTTTAAAAAAAAAAAACAAACCTGTAGCTGTTGTTCCCGGTACACCTGTCTGTCTGTCTCTTATCCCCGTTCCATGATAGCAGCAAAAACTTTGTATTGATTGCAGTGAAACGGAACCGCAAAGGGCCAAAAAAAAAATTAGAAATTGTATTTAGTTCAAAAAGACCCAGTGATTAAAACATAAATCTGAAGAAGTTTCTTTTTTTTTCATGCAAACTCCACCGGAAGAGGGTATTTAGCATGAATGGAATGACGGCCACATTGTGCTTCGATCACGGTCGAGATCATGGCTCAACCCTGATCCTGGCATAATTAAAGTCGTATTACCATTCTTAGTTGAAACGTGGCCCGCACGGTATAACTCCCCTTTCCAAACTCTCCTTTAAAAATTTTCCCCACCACTGAATCGGACCCGACATTTTCTCCCTTTTTACCTACCCTTGTTTAGGGCATTGGAATGCTTGCATGCATCTTAAAATAGTGCGTGGAACAATGTCATTGGCACTGTAGCTTCATTCATTCATGTTTTAGGTCATTCTCCTTTAGTGACTCCATATAATGACTAGGTTGCTAAAATAAAGCTAAGTTACTAGTCACATATTTCTCCTGACAATTTCCCACAGCAGCGACAACTTTGCTCTCTATGCTCTTGGTGCGATTCTGATTTGTCGCACTAATGAGAGTTTACATTAGGGAATCGCTCTTTAAATTACTTCATTTTATCTTGACAGTGTTGGCATGTGGCGTCAGGTTACCTGCACCTTTCCCCAGGAGAGTTCCCCCCGCGGATAGAGAAGATTTGGACCTTCCCTCGATTTGTCGAGTAAGTTATCTGTGTTGTCTGTAGGCTGCCTAAACGTTCTGCCTCCCAAACCATACGTTTCCAGAAACTCGCTCACCGTGATGGCACTGCCTACTAAAATATATATGGTACATGATAAGAAAGGGATTAATCGCCCTCGTTTGTCTTTATCCGCATCTGATATCGAGCCACAATAGAATTGATAAAGTTTCTTCCGAACGGTTGAAGCGTCACAAACTATAAGGGACAGCATATTTATTTGCAGAGGGAACCGAAGAAGAGGTTGAGTCAAGTGGTGGCTGAAGAGGCTGAAGAGAAAGTAACTCGTGCTGCTACTCCTGAGGAGCACTTTGAAGCTCCAGTGGAGGAAGTACACGAAGAGCCTCCTCCACCGGCAAAGGAAGAACATGAAACGTATGAGGCTGCTAACGAAGCAGCCGAGGCTGAAGAAGCACCTCAGGCTGAAGAAGCACCTCAGGCTGAAGAAGTACCTGCCCCAGAAGCAGAGGAAGCACCCCAAGCGGAAGTCGAAGAGGCACCTCCACAGGAAGCCCAGGTCCCTCTAGATCCAAAGGAGGAGCGAAAACGCAAACGGGAAGAAAAACGAAAGGAGAAGGAAAGACAAGAAAGGGAAGCTGCAGAGAGAGCCGAACAGGAACGGCTCGAGAAGGAGGCAGCCGAAAAGGCGGAACAGGAGAGGTTGGAGAAAGAAGCCGCTGAGATGGCTGAGCAGGAGGCTACGGGTGCCGAAGAGACAGCTGACACAGCTGAGCAAGAGCAATTAGAGAGGGAAGCAGCTGACAGAGAGGAACAAGAACGACTCGACAAAGAAGCCGCCGAACAGCAACAGATGGAATCGGCAGAAAAGGCCGAAGAAGAACAAGCCGAGGAACCAGCAGCAGAACAGGCCGAGCAAGAGGAGCCGGAGAACGTATCTGAAAAAGTGACAGCAGAAGCAACAGAACAGGAAGAAGCAGCTCCTGAAGAAGTCGGTCAAGACGAAGCTGAGGCTCCAGTTGTTGAAGAAGACCATCCCCAAGAGGAGAAAGAAGGCGAAGGACAGCCTGAATCACAGGCTGAAGAAGCTCCAGTCCAGGAGGAAGAACCTCAACTGTCAGAAGCAGCCGAAGAACAGCAGGATGGAGCAGGAGAAGAACAAGAAGCTGCACCAGAAGAATCAGAGCAGGCAGGAGAGGAACCAAGTGAAGCTGGTGCAGGGGAACACGCAGAAGCGAGTGAGGAGAAGCAGGAAGCAGAGGAGAAGCAAGAAGTAACAGAAGATACAGAGGAATTGCAAATACAAGTGGAGGGTAAAGAAGGCGGTTCCGCAGGTGGGGCAGAAGACCTGACAGATGAAGAAATTGATGACGAGGCCCTGTATGAAGATAGTCCCGAACCCCCTGTAGATCCTGATGATCTCATAGGTTCGTAGATGAACAACCCTACTTCCTCCCTCTGTTCTATCTTTGTCCATCCGGTAAGTCACACCGGTCATCATCTGTCGTGATTCGTCATGGATTCCTCACCCTCCTTCCAGTCCGTCGGATCCTATCCCACAGCAGTCGCTTGCAGTGAAGAAATCCCAATAGGTCTCTTGTTCGGACCTAAGTGTTCAAAGAAGTTCCGACACGTAGATTGCACACCTTTGTTTTTGGCCAGGAACGTCCTTCTCGCCATGTTGATGCATGTGCATGTTCCGATCGGTCTTGCATCTATGCCAGCTTTCCTGCATCAGTTCCTAAAAGTCATGAGCCGTGAAACTGTTTTCGGATCGAATTCGAACCCCCACCCCTCCCCTAACCCTGGTGGAAATCGGAGAAAGCACTACTTCCGGAGGATCTTCGGGCCATTACTTCTTCAGGCGACCGACGAAACCACCACCCATCTGCAAGATGTCACTACCTGAAATCGCTGGAAGCACACCTGTGCACGAAAGGGAAGGGGGAAGGGGGGGGGGGGGGGAGAATTTAATTCGAAAACAGTGTTTCTCAAGTTTCGCTATAGCTGCTATCACTGTGGACTTCGTAGGTTTTGCCTCGATCTATACGAATCAGGCCAATAATTCGACGGGATTGCATCACGTGGCAGCTCGGAGACTCTATTAGGTTACAAAGCAGGTTTTCTTATTCGAAAAAAAAAAATCTAAAGCAACATATCGTGCTATCTCAACAGTAAGCGATTTTGAGATGTCTTGGCTTTAACTCGTATATAATCGACATGAGGGTTGTTCAATGCATCCTCACTTGATCGATTCAAACGGAAGCAAGCAAGTCACGGCTTGATGGAATGGAAGGGAACGGATCAATAATTTTCCTATAATATAATTTTCTATAATATAATTTTCTATAATATAATTTTCTATAATATAATTTTCTATAATATAATTTTCTATAATATAATTTTCTATAATATAATTTTCTATAATATAATTTTCTATAATATAATTTTCTATAATATAATTTTCTATAATATAATTTTCTATAATATAATTTTCTATAATATAATTTTCTATAATATAATTTTCTATAATATAATTTTCTATAATATAATTTTCTATAATATTATTTTCTATAATATTATTTTCTGCTGTGCGTAAGACACAGCCTATCTCTTCAGATACAGAAACAGTAGCATAATGCGTCGTGAGGACGCGTTGTGACTTGAGCATGAACAATATCAGCTTTCTTAAGCTTTCTGATATATTTCATGAATATATCTGTAGTCAATTGGATTTCTTAGGTTATACTGGTTGGCACTGGCCGCACTGGCGAAAGCAATCAAATCTTATCATTTATCTACAAAAGTAAAGGCTGGACAAATTCTCATCGCTCATCTCATTCCACGTACAAAGCTGGGGGGTGGGGGGGGGGGGGGGGGGAAGGGGGGGAAAGAGGGCGATTACCATCTTGATCAAGTCTCGAGATTGAGTTAGTCATTCTATCCCCCCCCATCTCTCTGACGAAGTAAAGGTGTTGCTCGAGGTGAGGAGCGTCTTTTTCTCATCGCCCCCATGCTGTTCGAACAGATCAACATCTAAGCCTATGGGGATTGGGTGTCCAAAACGCTTCGGTGCAAAACAGAGTAAGAACCGGTCGGGATCACGTCTCACGTAACAAGGCTGTAACGTTCGCCTGCAGAGGCATACATCATCTGCGGATAGATTCGCACGATTTACAGGGTGACCAATAAATCGCTTTAGCTAATCAGAGATGCGTATATCAACGTCCAGGATTAGTAAAACCTTGAATCAAGGTAGAGCAGTTCACTTCACCATGAGATGAGGGATTAGGGGTTGGATAACATACAGAAGGATGGAATAAGCACTGCCGTTCGAAATGTCCTTTTTTTTTTTCACTGATGGTGTCTGCTCTTAGAAGCCATCCCCGCCTGTGCGAAATCCTCTAAAGGTGATGTCGGACTCATAATCTTTCTCCCTCTGCAGTGAACTGCTTTACAAAGATTCAAAGTCGTACGATCCATCGATGCATCTCTGAGCAGATAAACCAATTTATTGATCCCCCTTGAACTATGGATGAGGAGCCTTTGCATAAGACATTCAAATCAGACTGTGATATTCTTCAATTGTAGCTAATATTAGAAGAATATCAATTGAAACGGCAGAATGACTTCACCTGACATCTGATAACGACATGACGAATGAGCTCTGAAAATCCCACCTTAACTGGGATTGTGCTCCAGCACAATCATGATCATTCAGAACTTCAGAAATTGATTGATTGCCTTTTGGAAGTGTAGAACTTGATGCAATTTGATGGAAAGAGGAAACAAGAAATTATACAGGCTCAGAATTAGGATTAGAATTAGGGTATGCTAATCGTGAGGGGGAAAGTGACAAATTTACTCGAGACCCAGACAGCTATTCCTAGAATCTAGGGCCGCTACCAGTTCCAGGTATTTTCAATAATATGGGACCAGATTGTTGTCATCCCATGAAGATGACACCTTCAAATCAGGGTTGAATGTCAAAGGCACGAAGATAACGCCGTTCCTATCCAGGCTTGTTATTGATCGGTGAGCAGAGCTCACCAATCAATAACGAGCCTGGAGCTGCTTCGAGGATGACACAGTCTGCCTTTGATTGCCTTTTGCTGAGACGTCTTCTCCAATCATGCGATCGCTTGTTGTTTGAAATACTGGTGTGTATCATTCGTTGAAGCATTTCTTTAAGATTGACAGCATCATAGGGAATTGCTATGGTCGGGTATTTTTTGTTGTTGCTTTTTAGAAGCTTTCTAGAATACCTCGAAATCCTTATTTCCTTTATTCAAGCAGAATCAAAGTGGTTAATTGGGTGATAGTGTTTTGAGGGGCATTCTGATGTAGTGAGAATTAAGAAGGAATTTCAAGGAGCCCCCAATTCCCGCAGCAATTTACACATAATAAAAAAAACTTGAAGAAATGGATCTTTGCCGGCTGCTTTGATGAGCTGCTGACTTTAATTATTTTCTCTTTTATTTTTCTGTGCAGCTGTATCGCTATTTTTTTTTTTAGATATGAATAACGTTTTTAACAAATGTACATCATGCCTGAATCGCCTGCTCGTTCAGCTCAAATACAGCAGGAAGATGATTTTTTTTTAACAGTATAGTCTCGTTATTAATTTTATGGACACCCAGTTTAATAGGGGGTGATTTTTAAGAAAGTACCCCACTTCAGAGCGTTATTGCGCCTTAACTATAAGGCGTAAGACGGAATCGTCAAACCTGGAGACACGTAAGAATGCAGAATTTACCGGGTTATTCAGTGGTCATCGGTTCCGATCATCAATTTCACGATAGAAGTACAGTTTGGACCGTCCAAGGAAGTTTCACGGTTATGGATCACCCCGTAGATCCGCGCCGATCGGAACCACGGCGCGAGAGGGGAGTCCTTCGGCCTCCACGGTCGTGCAAGCGTCGCAGTGGAGGTCGAAGGGTTCCGTCGATCTGAAGGAAGTGCGATTTGCGCTTTTCCACTTCCCATTCCGCGTTACGAGTTAGGCTAAACTCGTGTAGGATTTTGGGCCGTTCCTAGACTAAGTGACCCTGAGGCAAATTATTGCACTGGCCGGTGTGGACAGAGATGTCTTTCACCCAGACCTCTTGAGAAACACGTCCGAAAAGCTAAGACAAAGACAGGAGCTCGATTCCATCTATCTCCGTCCCTAAATGAGCTACATTCAGCCCCCGCTAGATAACTCGCGAGTCTGTCCATATTTCCGCGCTGTTTTTTGTTAAAAGAGGATGAAGTCGAGGAGCTCACCCCTCTCGTCCGCGTCGAAGCTCTTTCTTCTCTTTCTTCGATTTAAATGCTCAGACTATTGATCCTCGAGATGAGGCCGAGGGAAGGATAGAAAGCGATTCCATTTGTGGGGGAGTCAATGGACCGAGTCGCAAGTAGGGATGGCTGTGCCGTCATTACCGAGCGAGACAAGAGTGCAGACCTATTTTAAGAAGTTCTTGGGCGCCCTGGTACGGGAGAGAGAGAGAGAGAGAGAGAGAGAGGGGGGGTTATGGATATTTGGTATAGTTTCAGGAATCTAGTGAAGACGGCAGAGGCGTACGCAGGATTTTTTTTGTAAAGGCTGAGGATTTGAGGAATTAATTGAGGCAGTTGAATCTGAAATGCGTAAATTCGCTCCCAGGGGAAAATTCACATCGCAATAGCAAGAGGGATCGTAAGGGAGTTCCTCCTTGCGTGCGTCACAGAAAGAAATGTCCCTGGGCGCGCCCAACCGCTGAAAAACGCCCTTTCCCCCGCCCAAGTAAATCCCTCGTAAGAGACTAATGTGAGCGAGAATTGTTAAGCACCAAGAAAGTTTTCTCGTTCCCCCAATTGGGAGAAAATAGACACATGGGACACCAGATGCCGATAAATCGATTAGATAAACGAAACACCTGCGAATTAGAGAGAGACGTGCTGCTAGAGGCAAATTGATCAATCAAGACGGGACAGGGAACGACAGAATTATTTCTGTCTCCCGAAAATACTTTTTTTTTTGTCTCATGCTGTCAGTTTCAGGATACAAACTGGTTTTTATATGCGACCGGTGCGATCGAGGGCAAAATAATTCCCTTCTTTTTCGGCGAATCCCGAAAAAAAGGTTAATTTTTTGTCCTCGTCGAAGCCACAGTCGAAGCAATTTGCGGTTGAAAATGGAGAAAAGAGGAGAATCGATTCCGACTCACCCCTAAAGCCGGTTCATCTACAGTACAAACAAGACATCGTGATCGTGCCTTGTAATCTACAGGGACAGAGAAAATTGCTCCCGTCCTCTTCGTAAGCATTCGTGACATTTCCTGCTAGGAGCACGAAAGAAAAAAATCGCATCGCAAACATCGGCAAGGGTTTGTAAGGCGAGAGGCATTCTTCAAATCGAGACTCGAAGTCGATCCCCCGAGGGTCGAAGTTGACACCTGGACCGTTATGTGTAACATAACGTAACGTAATGCTTCGAATGTGGGATTCGTTCGCATAAGTCAATATCCTAAGAGATTTCAGTTATGGTGAATGTAAACCGAGATTTTCCTAGGATTAAAATGCATTCCGAAGAAGCTGACGTGCCTTTAAAATGATTCATTACTGCAGATCGATTTCGATTAAAGTTCTCTTCGATTGACTCACCCCTGCCCTTTAAGAGGAAAAAGGATGTGGAGGGATGCGGAGGGATGCGGAAGGATGTGGAGGGCAGGGGGGGGGGGGAGTTAATCGAAACGCGTCATGTCTTTCGTTGAATATGATTGGGGTTTAGGGAGTAGCATTTCGGGGGAATTGCAGAGACGCCTTGAAGGAATAGATTCTTCGCTGAGTCGAGGGAGGAATCCATAAAGATTAAGATAACGTCGCGGCCCGTCGGGTGGCGCCCGCATTTTTATTTTTGTGGCCCGAGTCGAGGATCTTTTCTTCTTTTTTTTTTTTTTTTTTCCTTGCACGACTAAGAAAGCATGGGTCATTGACGTCACGCTGATCTCCCGTGAGATATAAAACTTACTTGACGCATGGTCTGAGAGTTGCACGTGTCTGGTATTTTTTTTTCGCTCCCAGGCGATGATTCAACTGAACCTGACGGATTCCTCTTCTCTCGCTAAGATTTCTCGAGGATGGGAAAGGGGCTGAGAAAAAGGATTCGATGTAACAAACGCAATAGCACGAGCTTCAACCATCCAACCATTCAATCAAAAAAAAAAAAAATATATATATATATAATAAAAGTTAATAAATTATTAATATGAAATGATTTCATTTATTTGTTACTATGATACGAAGGTGGAACGAGGAAAAATGCGAGGAAAGGAGGCACCGTCGCACTCCCCGGGAATTTCCCCAATGTTTTATACTGAAAACCCCTATTTGCTTCATGCTATTTAGAATGGTTCCTAGCGAGAAGTAAAAGGTCCTCATAATGCCTCAGTGGGAATTACTCTTGTCCTAAGAGAGACTCGTTTAGGTTCAAAACCACGGCCTCGTTTGATCAATGGGATTCCGTAGGATACATGACCAGAGAGAAATCGAAAGAGGCGAGGGAAAAAATGACGAGATTTTTATGTTTATCTTGGACCTTTTTTTGGTTTTGAAGCACCCTGTATTAGTACGCAGGGGAAACTCATTACCTCGAACGCAGATATAAATTTCGCATGTCTCAGGGCTCAAAGCTTAGTCCCGACACCATCGAATTAGCTTCTCTCAAATTTCCTGGAATCTTGAACCGCTTTGCCATTTCCATTCAGATTTTCTCACGCTTATCTCGAAGTGGAAGAAGCGGACTGCAAAGAATGAAAAAAAAAAAAACGAGGTGGGACTTATCGATTTTCTGAAAAGTGTCAACGAAAGAACGGGAAAAGAAACCTGTTCGTGTGAAATTTTTTCTCCCCGTCTCTTTCTTCCCCCCTTCCCTCAAAGACGCCTGCGGAGGAGATTAAGACCGGGAGATTAAAACCGGGTCTTTCGCGATAAGAATGAGGAAACCATTGGCACATTCCCAGTCTCTTTCATTTGGTGGCTCTCCAGTCGGTCTGCCTCGTTTGTGCCATTATTGCTGCAATCACCCCCATCGACCCACTCGAGAGGAAACGGGAATTTGCAACGCTCGAAAAGTAGGTGCATTTGAAATTGGAAGCTGGAGGACGAATAATTTTGTTATTCCTCCTTATCTGACATCGTGACTTTTTCCGGGTAAAGCAAAGTTCAGATAAGTGGAACTCGAGGATAACCCGAAACGATTTTCCCGGTCCCGTCGAGTTATCGAGTGTTCCCTTTATTTGCAAGAGAACGCTCCCAAGTGATCAGTTGAGACTAATGGTGCCTCGGGTGTCAATTCAACAGTTTCAACAATCTACAGGAGTTTTCTGCTGTTTTGTTTGTTTGCTCAGAGACATTTCAAATTATGAGTACTCGAGTCCAAACATGTGCCCCTTACTTCATAGAAGCACTCCTATGTTTTTAAAAATCCAAACACGTCTCATCTCCTCAGACCAAGTACTTTATAAAGGTACACTCAGTGTTACCGATACCGAGAAATTGGTACTTAAGAACAGCCAAAGGCACATTCCGAGGAAGGCTAATTCATCTTATCCTCGTTTGTTCCAATCGGTCCAGGTTCTGGGGTTAAATTAATGGAGCGTCATCAGAGGAACAATAAGATCCCCCCCCCCCCCGCCCCCGCCCCCGCCCCCCCCCCCCCACATACATACTACATACTTCCAGGTGTCCAGTTGGGTCTTGAGATTGGGATGCTGGTAGGCTTTGAGACCTTAAGAAAGGAAGGAAGCGCTATAATTATAGTTCATACTTCAAACACAACGGGAGTTTTTAGGATGGGAAATTGTCTTTGCGATGCAATTTTCACTCGAATCCACGAATTACACAACCTCAGTATTACCTTGAGTACTCAATATCTGTGCACTACCCCAATACTTCGATTTATCGAGTAAAAACTTGACTTTCGGTTGACGGCTAACCCAATTCACGGGTTGCATGTCACGCGTGGGAATTCGCTCTACCGATACGATGAATTTTCAAGGTCTTCCTCGAATCCGCAAATCTTCCCTTGGGAGTTAATCCTCCTTCAAATATAAAATCTTTCTATATCCGGTCGGGCGATAGGAGACCCACATGACTCAGCAGCGACGGTTTAGTATTTCCTAGAAATCATTTTGCTTATCCGGTGAACGACCCTTCTTTCTGCTCATAAATCATTCAAGGAGTTCGGAATTATACTTCATCGGATTTTTTGTCATTCATGACCTGGTGACACGTAAATAAGATAAAACGCATCAGGCTAATTAGGGGTTGGGGTTGGGACACGGTGATAATTTCGTTCGAACCGATCAAAGCGTTCCTCGTGAAAGACACTTCTTGCAAAACACAAATGTCTCATGCGGGATTTCCCGTGTTAATGCTTAATTCCTAGGACTGTCGTGAACCTGTCGTCTGCCTGCAAAAACATTTCTTGGAGTCGTAACGGGGGGGCATGAAGAGATGTGACGTCTGGCATGGCTGGGTTGTCTGAGTGATGGCTTCTTGGATTTTTTTTGTTGAAGGTCTGCAACAGAGCGGAAACGCTGCTGTTGCAACGGACAAACAAGAATGAGATTGACAAGGAGAATTCCATAAGAGACACTGCGTATTTCAAGAACTGGGTATTTCGCTAAGAACGCTTCCATTGATTAATATGAAAATTTCCCTATAGGTCCTCCTCTCCCAGTTGGTGAGCTAAAATTTTGTATCACTAGGCCAGACAAAAAGTTATTTGGAGTGACCTTCAGAATGAACAAGAGTAAGAAGGTCGAGCTAGAACGACATCAATTTGATCAGACCCTATAATATTACGAGAGGCTGGCATCGGGTAGAAAGAGGACAACGTTGTCCTCTTCTCGAGAGCTGCGCTTCTCTCTTCCCTCCTATTGCGATCGGACTCTCAGAGTGAGTGGATTAAACTTGTTTCCCAGAACGACGTCATTTGGAGTGGTTTTGGGGAAAAGAAGATTAATCTTCTCGGGATTATATTCCATGGGACATCGTATCATGTGTAGGATTTGAAGAAATGAAATCGGTTTTTCTCGAGAGAAAATCACGAGAGTCTGAACGTCATAAGGTCAATACCCAGGCTGCATCATGCTTCTAATGATGTCGAACCCCTCATTTTTCAAGAATCGGGGAGGCCACGAGGGAGGAACGTGTTCAAATTGAGTGCGTGCCAAGTATCTTACAGGAGGGTGATAGGGAACAGGGGTGGGGTGAAAAAAAAGGGGGGGGGGGGAAGGAAAAAAAGGAATGGCATTTTGACGTCATAGAGCGTGGCTGTAGGTAATTCTAGTCCGCCAGTGACAACGAGAGTGGAGTGGAAGAAGAAAGAGGAGAGGAGGGAAGAGGGAGAGTGTAGTAGCGCAGAGAGGGGAAGGAGGTAGGCCTAGACCGAGTGGCTCAGCTGTGGGGCTTCCTGGCCTAGACGAAAGGGGGGGCTTTTGATGGGCCAGTTCCACCCATTCATTCCCAGTTCCAGGCTAGTGCCGGTGCCAGTGCCACCAGTTCGTTATTCGCTGTGCCCTTACTGGCTCCCTGCCTGATCGTCTTCGTCTCCTATCACTCAGGTGAAGATGCTGGCCATGCAGACGAGCTCCAAGGACCCGGTGCAGAGGACTCCCAGGTGAGTTGAGACGCTAGTACTCACCTTTTTCACTTTTTATTTTTGTGTGTGCCTTTATTTAGCCTTTCCTAGGGTTTCGTCTCCTTTCTCGTCCCTCGGGTTGCTTCCTGTTGTATAATTTCATAGCGCTGTGATCTGTCTTCGTCTCCTGTTTCATGTCATCTTCCGAGGCACATCTATGACTAGTAAAATGCACATACTTAATCGTAATAGTTGTCATCTTATGTCGATCATGTTACATGCAATTGGAATGAACACTGGTAGGCAATCGCGGGGCCGTTGGACTTTGACCAAAGAATGCAGTATGAAACACACGCGGGGAAAAAAGGAAAATCGCCTCGGGACATAACGTCGAGGCGTTGCACTCTCACGTCCTCTGTCTCCTTGCCTTTATAAAGAGGCTTTTCCCATTGCCCAACACTGGCCAAGTACCTGGCCATGCAAAGTACTTGGTCTAAGTGGAAGTACTGATTGCATAAGCACAACTCATTCCGTGCAGACGCCATAGACTCGTCCATGTCGGCCAAGGATCTCGCTCTTCCTGTCCTCGGTCGAGACCGGTGCCAAGTTGACACGTTTCGCTGAGCCACCGGAAGAACGGCTCTCGTTGGATTTTCCAGTGAATCCCCTCCATCGTTTCCCAATTAGGGGTTCCAGCTCTTGGGGTTCTTCGACATTTCATCTCATCGATCCCCTCCAAGGACCGTCCCATACAACGAATATAATGGAACAATTGTGCGATCGACTGGGCGAATGAGCATTACCTGCTCCCTTTGGCGGTTTTCCCGGATCCATAGTAGAGGGTCAGAGCTTGATTGATGCAGAGAGGAGAGATTGCATCCCCGGCTCTGTGCCCATGGCTTTGTGTGAGGAACTAATAAGACCAGACCGAGTTAATAAGCCCAGAGCCAGCCCCTCTTGGAAAGAAGGGGAAATTCGTTGGGAAGGGCAATCGATTTTTACCTGATGAATATGAAACTCGACAGGCATCGAACTAAGTCTACGTAACGGTCGATCTAAACTGATTCGAATCAAAACTTCTTGTTTAACTCTTCATGAGTATGAATTAGGACTGCAGCATTTCGGGGCCGCATGCATCAATACGCAATTAGAATTCCAATAAAATAGGTTTTACCCCCGTTTCCCCCCCGGAATAACAAGTCCTCCTATGGATGAGAAATTCCCCCTTCCGATTTTGACAACCATCTAGAGCCGATGTCCCAGCTCTATACCAGCTGAGGACTACATTGTCATGTCTAGATCCTAATCTTCATGTTTGAATCGTGATTTTTCCCTCCGCATTTGTTTTGGCCGGTCTAGACCGATTTGGCTCACAGCCCACAGGAAATAGACAGATGCGAGTCCTGTCCTCTATCCTATGAATATGCCACTACTAATATGGCACGTTCCAGAACAGACGTGACGAAAAAGTTTGATATTGGGTATCTGCTCGAGGTTTTCCTTTTTCCTATCTCGCCGCGAGATCATAAGATACGCCTACATGAGGATGCACGAAGCGGATGAAAATAGCTGCATGATGTCGCAGCGGTAGATAATCCAATTCCGTTGACGAGATGAGACGTCGTTCATTTGACGGAGAAGGACGGATTCTTGTTTATGTCTTTCAGCATAGTGATCGAGGAGGAGGAGGAGAAGGAGGGTCAGAAGAGTGATCGCCTTCAACGAGCCTCCAGCAAAGAGGAGAGCGAAGAGAGGATCCGAGCCATCCAGGTACAGGAAAGATGAGGCAAACCCTGGTTTATTTCCCCACCATTTTCCTTGCCGATGGAGAGATGTACTTTCCCGATGTCCTTGTTCGTGCTCGATAGAGTCTCTTGAAATCGGGACTGAATCCTTTCATCCTGTGCCAAAGGAGAGAACGTAGGAAGGGGAAGAGGGTAAAAAAAAAAAAAAAAACTCTTCTCCCTAGAGACAGGAAGGGCCTGGAAATAACGAGATTCATTATCCTGTGATCTCTTAAATATGCTTCTGCTCTTCAAATACTTTTCTTTTTAACTCAATATGCAGATATACCATCACGTGCGGTTTTGCGAAGGTTTCAAGCAATCATCGCTATGTCTGTATCTGATAATGATATTTGATCTGGATGCAGATAATAAAATCTGGATACAGTTTATATTACCTGTATCTGTAAAAGTCCGAACGCGAAATTCGCAAGATTGATTGCGTTGACTTATTTGCAGATCGAGATGGAGCAGAGGAAGGAGGACTTTGAGAAGCTGATCCGTGAACACCAGGAAATCGTCCGAGAATTAAGGGACTCCGAGAAACGGACTCACGCTCCCTAGGTGTTCCCAAAGTGACCAAAGTCCCCACTCTTCCTAATGATTCTATGGCCTGGTGAGGTGAATGAAAAAACAAAAAGGATAATTACCTTCGTTTCAATGCCTCGCTCCCTGCAATGGCGTGCCTTCCATGCTCCGCAACGAGACGGGTGGTGTCCTCGTATCGTCTATGTTAATATCAATGTGTCCATGTTTCATTCATCATCCCCTTCCGTCGATCGCGATCGTGTACTGGAGTGTTCCGAATTCCGCGACATATACGCTCTCATTTTCACTACTTATATTTCCTATGCCTCCATTGTACCCCTGGATTACCCCTAATTCTCAGATCTCTCACTGCTCTTCTTAACTGGTGATGATGTCATTCAATGAAACAAAAGGATGGAAGTGGTAACATTGATAACGTGGTCGTTTTCTTCAACCTTTTCGCGAGCTGCAACTTAACCGAGGAGTTGTCATCAGGCTTTGACGTCAAACCGTCACCGCACGGTTTCCTTGCCAACTATAACAATATCATCTTTGCCGAAGTTGCTCTAGTTTCTTAGTCCACCACCTTCGTTGAAGAGTAGTGTGTTCATTAATAAGGTATGAATTGCCTTGAAAAAAAAATTGGTGGACGAGCCCTTTAGAATTTAGATTAGGCTCATCCAATTTTTTCCTATTCATTTTAAATCTACAATTACTTTCAATTATAAAGTAATAGGAAAGTTTAGTTGATACTCTCGCACACCTTCATTTATGTAGCTATGAATGTAGCTGTGACTCTGCAAGAGAATTGCTGCCTTTGGTCATTGTGACACATCTTGCGAGTAGGTCCACTGACTTGTCTATTTTACTGCAGGATTTGGAAGCACGAACAATGAACCCTGTAGTGAAATGTAAAAGAGACAGTAGACTTATTCGCGTTCAAGTTGCTGACGTGCTTCAGAGATCAAAGGAAGGAATTCCAACAACTCTGCTGAGCAGATTTATTTCAGTCTGAGAAGACGCGTATTTTGGCTCATGAATCAAGTGGGTTGGGAAGCGGGAAATGGAGTGCCAACGTGAAGCATGTTATTTTTCACACGTCAACGAGGGTTCACCTGAAGTTTCTTCTCTTTTCTACGTATATTCGAAGTTCCCTAGGATATGTATGCATTTCAATTATGTTCCATCGATGCTTCATGCAATCATGAGACAGGCTTGAGGTGGTTGTACTGCTTCTTGGCATCGTAGTTGCAATCTTACGGTGTCACTCGCCGACATGGTCGTTTATGACCACTCATTCAAAGCGACGTTTCAACATTAAAATGCATTGAAGAGGAAAGAATTACTTCCCGTTGCTTTTGGACCATTACTCGTACGTATCCCGCTCATTGCGGAGAAATGCACCATTCAATTATTTGATAATCCTCGGGTATGTTATTCTAAAACTCCGCGAAGCCTATGCGTTGGGTTGTGACAGTAAATTATACATTGAAAATGCGCTTTTTCCCCAATGAGAGAAAACTTTAGTTCATGCATGACAAGACAGGCAAGAAGTTCTTATATTCTCTTCGTCATTGCAATTCCCGAGGGTGAAGACGGATGGTGGATTTTTGAACAGAGAACTATCCGATAATGCAGCTTTATTTACCGGATTTATAATGTATTTTCTCTGAAGTAAAGCTGCATTATCGGATAATGCTCTGTTCAAAAATCCACCCTAAGCCGATGTTTCAAGAACGTTGCAGAGGGGGGAAGGAAACTTCATGTGAACTCAAAACCACCCAAAATATTCACGGTTAATGAGCCAGCAGCTTCATTATTCTGTTTTATGACACCAACATGAGAAGTCACACATGTGGCATGGAACTATATCTTCCATGCTCATCGACAAAATATTTTCAAGTCCCCTCTCAATACGACGGAAATCCCAAAGGTAAGATTAAGAGCAGGAAAAGTTGGATCTATACAACTGTGGGAATTTAATATATTTTGCACTCAATCGCTGATAATGGGTGGGTCAGGAGTTACTTCTCGTATACGTAAAAAAATAATTATTTTGTGCGTTGCCTAATCCTGTTGGGTTTTTTTTTTTTTTGAAGGGAAGCAATATTTCTTAGACAACACAAAGTTTTAGCCCCACGGTTGCCCGCAAAGATCCAAAACCACAGAACAACCCTCTAAAACAGAGGAAAATTGCTATACCAAAACCGCAGAGGTGATCCACGAACGTAGAGATCTTCATGCCCGAGAGCTTAATAATTAGTGCTGCCGACTTCGGTACGAACACGAACGCTGATAGTCTGAAGCTCCGGAAATTTCCTGTAAAATGAAATTTCCTGAACATATTCCGGGCATCGGGGAACGTTCCACGCAGTCCAAATACAAGTCAACAAGCTTCTTCAACACTTTGAGCCCTTCAGCCGTCATAAGACGTCCCACGCCCATTGCGCATTCAAACTGCCAGGGCTCAAAGTGTTAATCCATTCTTTTCAGAGCTCCTGCTCATTATTTTACTTGAATTCAGATCCCGCTGTTCGTTTTAAATTCAACTCGAAGTCGCTGGTGTTCAATATCGCGTGAATTCTAAATTGAAAGCGATTTAAAAGATTTGCAATTATCCGGGGTTCATCTTCATTCTCTTGCAATCCTGCAACTTGCGCATCGCCAAATAATCTATTTCTTGCCTGCTTCGGCTCCCTGCACTAGTAATTCTCGCATTTGATGCAATCTTCACAGGTTTTTTTTTTTTTACCCTTTGGCAAGCCATGCATGACGTTCACTCAGAACAAAGGCGACGCACTCGCCGTAAAACACACAATGCAGAGCGGTGAGAGGGAAGGGGATCATATTGCCTCGACAAGGTCAACGGCATTTAACAACCCTGCCAATCGCCCTACGGTAAAGGTATGAGTGCTTCGACGGTTCTGACTCATGCTAGGCCTATCTGGTAATTTCTTCGATTTGGGATCGTAGTCAGACTGTAATGGGTGTGGTCGTCCCCTTCTCCTCCCCCCTGTAAATACGCCACTTACTTGTGGTTTTGGATTGCAGCCAGGCTGCCATGGGGGCGGTCGTCCCGTCCGCCCCCCTGTAAATACGGCACTTCTGCGTTTTGGGTTGTAGCCAGACAGGCACGAGAGCGGTCGCCCCCTCGTAAATACCCAACTTAATTTGAGATTGTCATATTTTCTTTGTTAAAATAATCATGTGAGGAAAAAAACATGCATATCTAAGCAAATGGTATTTTAAGAAAAGCTCAATTAGTCAGACGGATCTTCCAACTCGCGTACTATATGCGTGGCAGAATCAAGCCGGGCTTTCCTAACCTCATGCAAATGTGCATCCAAGAGATGAAAGGCAAAAATTAAATTCAAGCTATGCCTGGACGATTAATTCACAGAAGGAGCTGTCCAAATCGCATTAATGCATACTTACTATTCTTTCGGTATGGCAAGTTATCAGGGAATACCAATGCTAAGAGATATGAGTGAGCGACCATCTTTCCCATGAAAACCTATATAAGTGTATGCATGCGAGTACTTGGAGATTTATGTACATGGGACGATAATGGCACGATAGAGACAACACTCCTCGGGGCAAAAACGCAGCATATTGACGTCATTGTGGTTCCTGGAATCGCAGTATAATTTTTTAGCATGACGGCGAGCTCACAGAGAATAATATTGTGATAGTTGCGCCAGAGGCTGCGCCCGAACGGCAAGCCCAAAGAAGTGTGGCTTGGAAAAAGAATGAAAATACTGCCCCTTCCCCAAGTTTGATCTATTATGCCCGTAATGCCCATCGCTATGTTTATCTAACGATACTTCAATACAATGTATGTGCAGTCCACAAGATCCTGAATCCTGATGATACTATCAAAATAATTGTGAGGACCAAGGTACGTATGTTTTGGTCGGTCCACGTGATCACATCTTGCAACCGATCTAACTCCAAACTATGGAAATCTCACTCTTAAATGCAGTCACCTCTCCCTCATGCTCTGGGAAGTTGACAGATCTGGAAAAACAGGTTCATTGTATTCAGCCTGTAAAGACATCAGGCATAGGCATGCATATATGCATAAATGCATTGACGTCAGAGGAACTGGATGGGTGAATACGAGATCGCATTTTCAACGCGAAGGGGAAAATGCCACTCATCGCGATTTCATGCTCAGCAAGCAAAAAAAGCCCAAATATTATCCTTGTGAATAGCACATGAATGAAAATAAACTCGCAGGAGACATGATAGACAGAGCTCTGGTGAGAATCTCCGGTTCAAATGTCAACTTGTTATGCCACGTCTTTCCAAACAGTGTTTTTCTCTATCTCCACAGCAACAGCCTCAAAAACTCCTTCACCTAGAAACGACAGACACCGATCGGGAAAATAACACTCCGTCCCTTCATACCCAAACAAAGGAGACTGCTCCGACTTCGGCGGCTTTGAATGCGCGGGACAGGGCCACTGACAGATGGAAGGAATGCAGAAGGCCAACCTCCTCACGTTGTCATAACATAGTGTCAGCATAATGCATAAACTGTATCGTCGAATGGAGTACTCGAACAGTGAATGGGTAACTCGAAGACAGGGAGAAGAAACACCATCATTGATTATTGTGTCCTTGGCATTCTGTTTTCGAGGTCGGGGCCAAAGTTTTCTACCAAGGCGACCACCGACTTCCCTGGATGCTGCTCGAATTCACGAGAAAGTCTCGTCTGGAATATCGATTTTTCAATTCGCTGTGATAGCTGTACTGAGAACCAGCAAAGCGTTAGAATTCTTTTCAACTGCGACCGGTCAGGCAGATGAGCTTTCCCTAGCTCATGCACACTGACGACTGAGTTAGCCTTTCGTCATTCCTCTTAGGCCCTGGCTTGATCCTGGAAAAATGAGGGTGAAATCCTCACATCCTATGCGCCAAGTTGCATCTGATAATTCGTTCTCATTATCATTGAGATGAGAGGGCTGTGGATATACAATGAATACACATATTCCTTTCTTGCTCCCGTGCAGATCAGAGCCTACGGGATGAAATACAAACCAGAGCAGAAATCATGCTGGTCGCAGCCTAGCTTAAGTTTCCGCCGGCCGACCACTTCTGTCCCACACTTCCCATCTCCCATATTCCAACGACGCCCATTAATGACCTGCCGATCGATATAGGGGAAAGAGCAACTTTGGTTAATTCCAAACTCGTCTAAAATAACTTCTGCTACAACTTTACAGCCGGAACTCTTCGAATAAACCGTATCTCTAAAAGTGGGATCACCGGCCGAGTCCAGAGAACCGGCCGCCGTCTCGTCGCCAGGGCCATAGGCAGAACTCCAACTCGATCGCTCATCATTTCATTTTGTCCTCGCAGCAGTGGAATGCACTAAGTTAAAGGGATTTTTAAGAATTTTTCTCTCTCCATTTTTTTTTTTAATTTCAATTAAAATTTAAAGTGAAATTTAAATTTAAATTCGGATTCTACTTCTTGAAAATCAGCGAAAGTGATGACAGCGCCCTTGCAGAAGCAACCCTTCGATCGATCTCTCTCCATTCGGGGAGGGGGGAAGATTAGGGGAAATATTGACATGGGATCACAAGACTTAGGAAGAAGCAGCCAGACACAAGGATGGATTAATCCATTCACAGTGGGGCTTGTGCAAATTCTATTGAGGCTCTTCCTTCAACACCCCAACCCCTCCTCCTTCCATGAATTGAGAGGAGAGAAAAAAAAATCGCTAGGAGGGAAGAAAACTTGTGCTCGACTCGAGGAGTGCTCGACGAGAACTGGCCGTTTCCTGGAAGGCGGCATGGCATTCGTGTCGTCGGACACGTGGCGATAATAATAATATAATTTACAGAAAAGAAAAAAACGCGTTGTTTTTTGTCTGGAAATTGCCTATTTGAGCAGGAAAAGAAAGTATCATGCACATGGTGAAAATTGCGCGAGGGTCTCACGTGCTCTTCGAGATGTCATGTTTCGGGCATGCCTCCATTCTCAAGGAAGAACCACTCTGCACCAATCACACTTGTGTTCCGTCGACGTCAAAATGGTATTAAAGTGACCATCAGTAGCGATCGACAGTGGATGGTATGATTTCGGGGGTGTGAGTCAGAGTGATTTTTTTTTCAGTGGCCGGTAGGCAGTCACTTGCTATACGTTAACGTCAGGCCTCACTTTAAAAGCGGGCATGCCGCGTTATGTTGCCGACTTCGATTTGACCGGGAGATTCTATGTCACGTGAGAGCTAAATAGACCATTCCAAAAAAAAAGAGCCGGCGCGATGGACCCTTCCATATTTCCCAGATCACCCAATCGATACTCTGGCAAGAGGCGTTACGAATTGTATATTGAATCAAAGAAGACAGAGAGATATTTATAGATAAATTACTCGCTGATCGCGACGTAGAATTCCAAGCAATGAAGTGGAAAATATGAGCTTTGTAAGGAGTTCAATAAGCTCGAGGGAGCGCTTTGCCTTCTTTTGGAATGGGATATTAATCTTTTATCTACGAATAAATAAATAAAATACTTCTAAAAATTGTATGATGCCCATAATGGAAAACAAGCACTCATTGCCTGTCTACATGACAGTAGTTCATATTTGTTGCCTCGTAGCAATACAGTACATTGTCGGTATAAAGAAAAATAAATAAAAAACCATGGTCAATAGAGCTTATTTTGACATGAAGATTGGAACGTCGTCTTGACTTCACATAATAATAGGGTTAAAACTGCCGTGAAGCATGGAGCCAAGGTAACGAAACGTAGCAGTTGCGATCATTCCTGCTTGCACCCAATTACCCCAATTAGTTCGGAAAGTTTAGCATGTGAGACATGAGCTTCTCACAGTTGTGACTGCACATCAAGACGCATCGAGTGCACAGGGCGTTCGTGAAACCGTTGAAGTATTATGAATGTTCGCATCTTCTGAATAAATAACAACAAAGCTATGAGGTAAAGCGCAAAACGATGCACATACACATTCTTATTTTCATCGCGGACAAGTGGCGATAGAGATGGTGTATACCAACGGTTCTCAACCCTTTGTCAACTATGGCACATTTTCTGGATACGAGATATTGGTCGCATCCCTGCACATCCACGGACCTTCATACACAATATCATAAGCCTAGTATACAAATTAATGGAAACCGGATCCTTTGAATTCATTCTTGAAAGGTTCACTTTGATGGCACTAAGCATCATTTCATTCCTTTCAAGAAGCTTTTTTAAATGCAATCCCTTGCCTGCCTCTGGTTGCACACAAAATCCAGATACGGCTAAATACTCGCAATCCTACTCCACCCACGACCCCACGTAGGTAAGCATGGGACTTGAACAGTTAGTTTTATTTTAATATTATAATAATTATAAATAAACTGCGAGAAGAGAGAGACATGTAGTTGCAAAGAGCTATCAGAATCTTTATTGCTGCAACTATATTGATCTGTGCATTCTTCCATGAAATTGCATATTCTTGGCACGAAATGTTATTAAGAGCGTGGGTTTAAGTGAGAAGTGTCATCCTTTCGAAGCGGTTTCTTAGAAGAGGTTTTCTACCCACTCAATGAAGTGCTCCTCGAATATACCTGAAAAAGAGTATTATAGCCTCTTGCTATCCCTTTGATCACGGGCCATTAATAGGAAAGCTTCCCCGTGTGTGTTGGGAGCCAACTGCTGGTCCTGTCTTCCCAAGCTAAGGAAGATTTAAGGAGCTGACCTTGGGGTTCTTGGGTTTGGTTCTCCGGAATCAAATATCCAAGGGAGTCTCCCGACATTATTCCCTTGGATATTTGGTTCTGGGGTTTTGCCATGTCCTCTGCGTGCAAAGCACAAAGAGTAATTCCCAGTAATACTCAGAGATTAAGACGTGCATAATCCATTCCATTAAGCCAATCGATAAGGTTTCGCTACAGAAAGAATCACGAAAGAAAGGGTCGACTACGCCCCCGTATCAACTGCTACGGAGGTGGAATCGAGGTTTCCTATCTTTGTCACAAGCCAGCTGTTCACATTCCACAGGCTAAAATCTATTAAGTTCAGGCCAGGAGAACGAGGATCCCAAGGTCAACCTGTCCGGTCCATCTGTTTTGAAAGGTATACATAAAAAGTAACACCTGTTCTCCGCGCTGAAAATAAAATGCTGCGTAAGTAAATTGATGATATGTACCTTTCTGCAAAGTTCTATCGTTGCTTGTTCGGAAATAGTTAACATTCCTAATGATTCACAGGCTTAATGGAGACCCAGTATTTGCAAATATTGCGGCAATTCGTGAGTCCAAACTGCTTGCCCTAGATCTATTCTTACAGGCGCAATAATAGACGTAGGGTCCTTCTTATCCCTATAATTTAAGCAATAAAATATTTGCGTGTTGAGCTCCTTTAGGCAGAAATCTGCGTTCTGTGCGCATATTTCGGAGGTGTGCAGGCATGTATGCCTACATTTAGGCATACAGACCTACAAAACGTTGACATGGAAAACAGCTGGGCCTAGCAAATCCTTAACGCCTAAAATACAATATACTCCAACTTTCCATTTACGACTAATCAACAGGACTGGCCTTAGGCATGTGCCAGATGTGCCCCCGCACGGGGCGCAAATTCACCAGATGCGCTTCCAAACGTGCCAGAATGAATGAAGCAATAATGGATGCCACCCTCAGTTTTATTCAAGAAAGTGGAAATGCCTTTCGTTTCGGCGTCTTTTTGGACGCTAGGGGTTGACCCTTCTCCCTCCCAAGGGTAGAGGGGGGGCGGGGGCCCTGGGAGTGAGTCTCTTCGCACAGGGCGCCGAAATAGCTAGGGCCGGTCCTGTCAATCAATCCTATGCCCAAGACCTCCTTTTGACACAAGGGAGTTTCCAGGTCTGGCATGAGCAAATTGACAGCCCTCATGTCGAGTTAAAACGACCTGGCAGGTTTTAGGCCTAGTGGAACTTGAGAGGGTGATGGCTGTCCCTACCTGTGCCATTCATCGCATACGCTGAATTGCGGAAATCACGCCACTTCAACGGTTGAACAAATCTGGGGTTTTCGCGCGCACGTTTGCTGAAGTAACGGAAGCGAGAGCAACTTCGATCGCATTCGTATGACCATCACCACTTAGTACATTGATTTTCGATTGATTTAACCCCTCACAATACTCCTTTCTGAATCGTGCCACGTCGTGCAACTTGAGGAACATCTGCAGTGGCGTAGCGAGGGAGGGGCTGGGCTGAAGCCCCCTCAAACTCTGGTCTAAATGCATCTGCCACTCCTTCCTCCCGCCGAGGAGGTTAGGGAAACTCTAGCCCCCCCCCCCCCATTGGCGAAATCCTAGTAAAGCCACTGGACATCTGCCATCACAAAATAAATCCCTGGCTAAATCAGTGGCTGAGGTGAGAATCAAGTATATCCCCCTTCCGACAGAGTTCAAAGGGGAAGGAGGGGGTGGGATAATAGTGCCGTAATTCTAGACCAGGGGTCGGGGACCTATGGCTCATGAGCCAAAATTGGCTCACGAGCAGAAAAGTCTGGCTCATTGAGTCGTGTCTAAAAATCATGGTTGTTCCTCATTTTTCTCATGTATCAAAGAATGCATTCGTCAGTTGGCAACTTCAGGAAACATTTTGTTTTTCGAAAAATCTTTCGCTCACAAGCGCGTAGCTCAATCTTAATATGGCTCCCATGAGCAAAAAGGTTGCCGACCCCTGTTCTAGACTATCGACGACATTCTTGCCAACCACATCATATCAAAGATGCCTGCAGGTTTTTTTTTTTTTTTGGGGGGGGGGGTAAGGGGAGGAAATTCTAACTTCCTAGTAAATGATTTTAGAAAATTCACTCAGCTCAAGCAATCCTCAATCAAGCTCAATTATTCAGTTTTATTGTCACTGCATGTGAGTTGTCAATAAATGGGGAATGAAGAGTCGACTTCTCTTGTCCAAGCATGCAATCCACCTTTGATATCTTTGAGATCAATATTTTTATCCTTCAGCAGCCCCTCCAGAAGCTTGACTGCTTTCTGCGAGTCATTGCCCTTCCTACACACCACATACACTGAATGGAAAGACTTTCATCAGCATGATTGGCAACAGAACAATGAACTACATCACTGCGACAAAGAGAAGAATCCATCAAAGTACCATTTATCATGGTCATCCAAATTGGGTTTTCATGCTCCTCCCTCTTATTCTCTAGTGAATCCCAACACATTCAATCGCATTTGAAGTTTTCTCGTCTCGAGGGAAGAATGACCACCCACACACCTCAACCTCAATATCCCCCCATGTAATTCGCCATCAAGTAAGAATGACAATGCCAGCAAGTGGGCGGCAATTCCTCTCGGAACAACAATTTGTACAGATTCATTGAGAGAAAATTACAGGAGTCAGTGGGTACTTACCCTGCTTTCATGATCAACCATTTGCTACTGTATTCTTCATTTATTACATATTATATATATTCATCTGAAATTGTTTTTGAAATTGTGCTATCACAGAACCATAATGATAGACCCTTCCTAGTTTCTGCAACACAGCTAAAAGATTTTTGAAATATTAGCATTTCACAAAACAATGACAGTTAAACACACCACAGGGGATTTAGGTTTAAATAATAAATATATACAAGCAAATTGGGACGCTTCAAAGCTCCTAAGCCTTTTATTAATTTTTAAATTCTGCCTGAGCAAAGAGATCTGGATGACAGGTCAACAATCAAAGTTGATGAAAGAGCACACTGAAGAAAAATGACAAATACATCCTGATGCACTCAAGTCTCAAGTTATATTCCCTAATTCCCATAGAACATCAAAGTAGTGCATGCAATAATCAAGAGATGGAAAGAGACCTGTTGGCCTACCCGGTAGTAGATCCTGCTGAGGATTGATCTGACGATGAGCAATCTCAGCACAGATCATCGATATGCTCTCTGCATTCTCCAACTTGGACATGGGCACATTCAATGACTCAGGCAAGGCACATATATCCATTTCAATCTCTGACCTCACATCGATCAGCAAATGCCTTTGCCTTTCCTTTCTCTGTAAGATTTCCTGGAGAGCTTGGACTGATAGTCTCTGATGTGGCTCCAGCAAATGCACTCCAGCATCCTTCAAGCCACACAAACAATCAACAATTATTAAACAGTCTTTCATCTTCATCCGATAAGAGTTATTTGAAACCAATGCTTCATATAAGTTGATATGAAATAGTGTAAATTACTCATGTCAAAACATCAGCTCACAATGAGGGATTAAACATGTGTTCAATTACCATGTAGGCCTAATGGAAGAGAGAACTCAGCTCATAGTATAACAGGGTGTCATAGACCTTGTCACATGCAGGTGCTCCACAGAACTCTTCATAGTCGATCAACTGTGTGATTTTGGGGGCTTTGCCACAAACAAGACAGTCATCCTTCCTAGGTCGAAGTTTAATTGTTCTGAAGGAACAGGGAAGGGCATCAAACAATAACAGCCGTCCAACCAGAGGTTCTCCTATTTTCAGAGCAATCTTCATCACTTCCAGTGCTTGCAAAGTTCCAATCACACCAGGCACTGGTAAGGGAACAAAGGAAATATATACCTTGAAAACTACCATCATAAATAGGCATGTAGGTTCCTGACCAACTCCTAGGACACCTCCATCAGAACAGTTTGTAACAGTGTCAGGAGGAGGAGGAGATGGGAAGAGACAGCGATAGCAAGGTCCACCCTCATGGGAATAGACTGTCAATTGACCCTCAAACCTTAATGCACTGCCTGATACCAGAGGTTTCTTCAACAGCACACATGCATCATTCAGCAAGTACCTAGAAGAATGCAGTCCAAACCATGAAATGTTATTCAGACTACTAATAACTAAGTGGCTCTGCTAAATTCCATATTTATAATTAAAAAAAAAACAAATAAGGTTAGAATTGGGAAGAAAAGGGGATATGGACTAAGGTCTTGAACTAATAGACTACCAGTAATAACTTAATGGCCATGGAGTATCTGGAAGGAAACTCATGCAACTGACTTTCCAACTATGACAATGACTTCAAACAAAGTTTTCTCAAAAAAAAAAATTATTGTTTTAATAATCATTAAATACCTTTTCAATTTAGTGAAAGTCAGCTTTAAAAATGCATTATAGAAAAAAAATACCAACCCAGTTTCCAACTCACATACTTACAGAAACAATGAAGACCAAAGAAACAAACCAGAGAAACCAAGTCAGAAGTGGAGCTCCTTTCACTAAAGAGGGACTTCGGTCTTTTGCCTGATTGAACAAAATACCAAAGCATTCTGGGTCAAAACCACAATAATTCATTTATTCATGTAAATTTTATTTACATGTAAAATATGAACGTAAAAGTATCCTGATTGCAGCAGTGGGGAGCAATGTGGGGTGAAGTGAGGAAACAGAACATGGCAGGTCAACATTAATTCCCACTCATCTAATGTATGAATGTTGACAAATGCAGATGAAAAACTTAAAAAATGTATGCTTTTGGCATATACTTCACAAAAAAAACTAGCATATCTTGCCCATCTGCTTCTGCATAACAATACTTACCATGATCAAGAAAATATTTTTTGGTAAATAACTGAGAAAAAAATTAGAACCTATCCTTAATATCTGCAAAAAAATTACTATAGAACTAAAAAAATTATCGATAAATAAATAAGTTCAATAAATAAGTGGACAACAATGAGAAAGTGTATGAAACTTTGGTTTAATTAAAATAAATATCCACTGCTGTTAAGGCACTTATCCCAACCTTTCACTAGTGAGTTGATACCATTCTCACATAAAGTTGATGGTTCCTGCTGAAAGAAAGTTCTGACCATGTCCTCCACATCTTTGTCTGTGTGGAACCATTCACCTTTCAGTGCCATCTTTAATGGTCCAAAGATGTTAAAGTCACAAGGGGATAAATCAGGACTGTATGGAGGGTGGTCCAATACCTCCAATTGTCATGTCGATCATTCCTGACTTTGGCGTCAATTGTGGCAGCAGTTGGATTGGAAATGGTCCCTCATGGTCAACCAGTTCTGGGATTATCCTCAGTTTATTCCCATCCTCTTACGAATGTTTGACACCAATTGTGCTCAGCTGTTCTCCGTAGACACTGTTCACCATAAGCCTGTTTCATCTGGCAGCAAATATCCACAGGTTTGATTCCCTTGGCCACCAAAAAATGGATAACTTCACGTTGTTCAGATCTGGACTCTTCCATACTGGAGGGGTGTACAGTTAACAAGATGTCTGACTGGTTCAAACAGCTACAACAGTCTGCCTGTGGCAATTTGGTGTTCTGTCTTACATGTATATGAGGTTATGTGAGATGGCGCAACAATAGCCTGCACCTCCTCAGAAATATACAGGTTGTCCACTTATTTATTGAATGCCCCTTATATTAACTGTGCAAATTCTGAGCAACAAGAGTAAAATATATGAACAGGCCTAGTGGGAATACAGAAATATTCACATGCAAACTTGACCATAGTGGAGACAAAAACTTTTCACACTCAGAATGTGGTATTAGGAGATGATGAAGTGAGTGGGTTTTTGCTGAATGAGAGAAAGCAAAAGATAAGTAGGAAGATGGGAAGAGGTATGGATGTGAGTGTCATAGATATAGATGCCCACAAATGCCTCAGAGATGTAAGAGGCATGTGCATCTTTCCATCTCCAGAGTATTATTTTTTCATTTTTTTTTTTCAAGAAAATAAATTGTGAAATCACAATTGAAGGAAGAGCCTAGTACTAAACACCGTTTTTTTTGCATTTAGGAAAAGTAAATATAGAAAGGTATAGAAATAAAAGGATTGTTCCAAACAAAAAATGTTAGCAGCAACATCATCAAGCAACAGCCACTATCAGAAAGTGGAAATGGGAGCATCATCCCTCTTTCAGAATTGACCAATGAGAAAGAGCTACATGTGCAGCTGAAGACTACCACATTTTTGATATGCACTCAAAATCTAAAGACTCTAGAGGCCTCTTACCTTGTAGCAACATTATCAGTTGCATCAACGATAACTTCATATTTTTCAATGATATCCTTTGCATTGTCCTTATTCAATTGAGTGCGATGAGTCTCAATAGTTACAAGGGAATTCAGCCTGAAAGGGAAAAACCCCTATGATTAGAAAGTACAGAAATTGAGAAAATAGGCACAAGCTGGTCATTAAATTTACAAAAATGTTATTTGCAGATTGGAGGCAAGTTGCAACTAAAGTTGACTCTGCATAATGGAACATTGCTTAATGGAATACCATTGCATGATCCTAATTTATGGTATGATACAGCAGATAGTTTTGGTTATTGGAATACTCCTGAATATAGAATAAAGTTTACTGGTCCTGTGAGTATTCCAATATGCAGAGTTGACTGTATTCCAGGCAATTATATTTAGAATCAAACAGTGACATGTCCAAGGGGGGGGTTTGGGGTATCATAACACCCCCCTAGGGATACATTTTACAGGTTCGCTTCTCAAAAAAAAACTTTTTTGGCCACATATGCAGGGTGGGTCACCAATTTTTCATGTCATGCTACTGGAGCCAACAAATTTTTCAGGCACTGACTCTCACCTGTGCTACAACGTCACTTTTCCCCACATTAAGAATCCAAGGTTATCACTTTTAGAGGAAATAGGACTCACTGGGAAATGGACTGGGCAGCAGAATCAGCCTTTGAAACATTGACCCTCTCTTCTGTGTGCAAAATCTGACGATGCAAGTTGTTCAACTCAACATCGTCATAGTCCACAAGTCCAAGCTTACCTAAAGATATGAATGATGAGTCTCTAAGGTTTGTGCAGGAGATGAACATAGCATAGCATCATGATCCACTAGTGTGTGTGTGTGCAGTGACTATACGAGGGATTTCTCAAAAGTTCTGCCAGTAGCCCACAAGTCGTCATCGGAGGTGGCTGCAAAGTGCTACTTTGGAGCTACTTTTGAGAAATCCCTCATATTTACAAGGGCTGGAGCTGGAGGGTACAATTTTTAGGTCTTGCATCTCAACTTCACATTCTATGACTTACCCAATCCTGCAGCAGCCAAATATATGGCACAAGGGCAGCCAAGTCCTCCAGCTCCAACTATGAGAACTGAAGTCTTCTTCAAAGTCAATTGTCCTATGAAGAATTTACAAATGAAAAACAGTGAAAGCATGAATTACATGGACCTATTCTAGCCTTATGAAAGAGCAGCCATGAGGAAACAACCTTGGACACCAATTTCGGGAAGGATGAGTTGACGGCTGTATCGAGTGATCTCTTCATTTTCCAGACCATTTGCTCTTTTACTTGTCATCATCTTCTTCTATGGGTATGTTTTTCCCTACTCAAATGAATTTCATTGATCAAAAAGAATCTAATTTCTGTGTAAACACTGATGAACAAGGGGGAGAAGAAACAAGGAATGGAAAAGAGGGGAAGAGGATGACCAGCTGGCAACTACTTGATGCCTGAGAATAAAAACTATATTCTCAAAGAGCTGGGATCATTAATGCATGAAAACTGCTTCCAGAAAATATTGATAGCATTGCTCCAAAAATCAAAATGCACATAATTTACATTCATAAATCCTTTAATGCAGAGGAATTATGCAATACATAGCACTCTACGATATATAGGCCTACTCCTAATACTATAGGACACTCAACATTCATGTCACCCATCCAGATCCGTGAATTTCAAGCCTTATCACAACAGAAATAATCTCATGGAAAATGCTACCAACCTTCCACAGCAGGTTTTTTTTTTAATAATAGAACCTAGTTTGTGAGTTAAACTAAACTCTGCTTTGCATATCACTATTATGCAAGTTTCAGGATGACAATTTTTGGATACAACCAAATGCATGTCAAATGGAAGGGTATCAAGAAATTAACAGCAGATAGACTCATGAATATCTTCAATAAAGAATGAACAAATTACTAAGTTGGAATGTGACTCTGGGCTTCACTGTTTCCCAACTTGCATTTCAATGAATAGTGGGACTTAATAGTTCTCAATGAAGGTTTCACGTGAAGCCTGGGAAGACATCTAGGTGCATGTGCATTAGAACAGAAGGTCTTCATCCTCGTTGTCTTCCAAGATATTGGCAGCATGATCAAAATTGATGCCTTTTGCCTTGCGAATAGCCTTTTCAATCTCCGCTTCCTGCTTCATTCTCTTCTTCTTATTTTGGATCTTCTTCAACCTGAAAGATAAAGGAAGATATCACTCAAGAGATCTTTATAATAATTGCAAGTAATGAAGTCATCAAAGGAAATTACCTATAGAATTCTTCTCTTTCATACTCGTCCAGTTCTGAGATGATGTAGGACAAAGTTCTTTCAATTCGAGGAATGATCACTGTAAAAAATAATTCAACATCAGAGTTAGTTTCCATTTCAGGATATACAGGGTGGTTCATAAATTATAAATAAGTTTTAAGTAAATAACAATTAATATAAATTACAAATGCATATAAATGTCACTACTCTAATAAATGTATGTATTTTACTTAATCTTCTGTTTCCACAAATTCTCTTGTTTTTAAGAAATTACTTTTTCAAGGAACAAGGCTTTTAAAATATATTAGAGAGGCACAATAATTTTTCAGGGAAAACTGAATTGTAAGGGGTAACTCCATGGAGGAGAACCATAGTGAATGCTTAGCATGGACTAAATGTCCAGGCATCAAAATTAAAGCTGCAATGATCAGTAAATGGTTTGCAGAGTTAAGAATTTGATCAAGCATCATGATGCATGAATAAGAAGGGAAGTGCCAGAATCAAATTTGCAGATGCATAAATAATACATATGTGAGAGCCAGAGTCTGGATAATCCAAACCTGTCTGGTTTTACCATATCTGTATAATACCCAGGCTTGACATGGAGAGAGGAGAAAGGGAGACTGCAGTGGCAAAGATGATGCTTACTTAGAATGTAGATTCAATCACGCTCTCAATGGACCAAGATACATCCCAAGAAAACAATGTGGAAAGGGGGACAAGAATTCCAGTTTTTCAGCTTCTCCAAAGCCACATATTGCAAGATGAGTACCACAGTAAGTCTACTCAGATTAACCAGGTTGCTTCATTACCCAGAAAGCTGCATTCCTTCTAACAAATTAAATACATTTCAGTATTTGAAAATCAATCTTTCTGTAGGTCTGTCTCTCACCATGTTCAATGGCATTGACTCTTCTGTTGGTAACTTTGATGGCCTCATCAAGAGTGATGAATGATGTCTGGAGTGAAGCAAGATCCACAAGAAGAGCAACAGCCTTTTGATAGTTTTTCTTCAGCTTTGCAAGTTGCTGCCCACCACGGGCCAATCCAGCCAATTCATATGTATCTGCACCATCCTGGTAGCTCTCAAACACAGGTAAGTGCACACCTGCATGGATGGATTGCAGATTATTAATTAATTACAAGTCAGTAGCACTTTTAAAATATTTTCCTTATTGGCACTCACCTGCAACATTGTCCTTCCTGCTCCTCACTTTGATTTGAGCCTTTGTGACATTCTGAAGCACCACTTGGTTGAAATCTCCAGTAGTAAACTTCGCTTCAGCAAGAGAGAAGGCTGCTTCTTTCATCACATCCCCCATCAAAACTTTTGTCTGCATCATCACAATATGGGAAAATGCATAAAAATAAAATCCTAAATTAAAAAAAAAACACCCTAGCTTGAATTCCGAAGCAGATAAGCTATCAGGGCTTCTGGAAAGATTATGGCCATCACATTTGGAGGGTATCCTTGAAAAAGTGTCTAAATCCAAAATTCTTTGTGATTTTTGAAGTCAAAAATGACATGTATGAATACAAGACAAGTCCCTAATGCAGGTCAAGTGTGCACAGTAAATTCATTATCAAGCCCATTCCCCATTTAATGGAAAAAAAAAACCAACCAAGTCCAATTCACCTTGTCATGCAACACTCAACCCATGCTAGAAAGAGGTTCAATTTGTGCCTTCAATTTTGGTGGTCAGTAATGAATTAAATTTCTTAGTGTTTAAACTTGGGTGTTGGTATGTTTATGTATGACATTCAGTTCCTCACAAGTCCATATTAATATAACAAGAGTTTTAGCATAGCCCCAGCAAAATATGTTATTTAGAAGGAAATGAATTACCAAACTGGGACAGCTGAAATACAGGGACACAGAAAGGTGCCATTACTCTTTCTCACTGTCTGGCCCTGATGAGGCATCTGCTGAAATCATTTGTTTCAAGACTTTTGACACTTTTTCCAGAATTCCTCCAATTTGGCATATATATTACAAACAATCTTCCTTGTATGTGATAGATCACCAGCAAAGGTACTGCTCCTTTGATATAATACTATAGGATACAATAGTATCATATCAGATCAAAGGAGCAGTACAAAGCAAGCAGTGCTGACACAGTATGATCATCTTATACTGAGGGTCTGGTGAAGGCCTTTCAGTCCAATATGTCAGGATTTTTCTCCTCTCTTCTCTTAAGTATGAGCCTTCTGGAGATCAGTGATTTCAATCTGCATGAAATTAAGTGGAAAATGAGAAAACCAATCCCATGCATGGTAGAAATAAAACTTCACATTTCTCACAGAAAATAACAACTGCACGTCCTTCCTTTCTGTGAATACGAGCCCTGGTCCAGAAGCCCCAGGCTAATGCCCAATTTGTTCCCCATAAAAACGGGCCTTGTAAGCCCCGCACCCAGGTCAAGAATTAAGCTTTCAACACACACTCACATCAATTATTTTGGAAAGAACCAGCCTCAGTCGGAGTTGTAGGGCATCTGCCTTCTTCTTCAGAAGGCTGTGGCCAGTCTGTGCGCCTTTCAGACGTGCTTTCATTTGAGTTTGAGCCCTGAAATTAAAAAACGAGTACTTCGTTACCGAAATATCTCAAAGCAAATGATAGCCTATGTCAAGGAGCCTCCACTCACCCTCTCGAAGGGAAAAGTGGTATCCGATCTTTCCCAGACATGTCGTGACTGCTTGTACTGGAGTCGTAGAGTCAAGGAAGTGAGACTTGGAAAAGGTGAAGCGAGTCGTTCGAAGATGGCAACAGGAACAGAGAATCACACGGAAGACGATGGGGCAGCCATGGGCCAAGTCTCACGTGATGCCGGTTTTATTATCTGTTCACAGATGGCAGCAGCTGCTCATTGAACTCAATTCCCAGTAAGGGAGAAATAGCGGGGCCAGTTTTGAGTTAAGGATCCTGGGGATCAAATTTTATCTAAAACCAAAGGTTCGATCCGATTCTAACACTATCCCTAGCACTGGACGTAATCGGGGGGAAATGATCCACAATGTCGACTTACTGTTTCTTTCTCGACTCACTTGAGAAATGTTTATCTTGACGCGGACACCCATGGCATAGACCAGTGGTTCCTAACCCCTGAGTCGCGACCCAAAATTGGGTCGCCAAGTCAATTTGAGTGGGTCGCCAAGGGTCTCCAGCGACTGTCCGAACTTTCACATACCATTTATCACAGGTGAACTGTTTGGGGGCATGGGTCGCCGAGCTAGTCCCGCGACAGGAATTTGGGTCGCAGTCAAAAAGGTCGAGAACCTCTGGCATGTTGCTCCTCCTCTGGATGTTGCTCATGAATGAGCGTCCAAGTCAATGAAAAAAGAAATGTCTGTCGCATATTAAACACTAAATAAGTAATAAAAAAGGAGAGATTACCGATCACATTTTCTCGAGGTGAGGCGTCAGTGTCTAAGATACGCTAAGGATTAAGCCTCGAAAGTGAGTCTTCCTCGCTTCTGCTGTGAACACCTCCCTATAAAACTTTTTTTGGGAGAACTGTACAATAGTCGCACCTTCAATTATTACAACCTTAAGCATTGTCATTATATATCGTTTCTATGGCCCAGCCCAGTGGCGCTTACAGGGATGGGACGAGGGAGGGGGGGTCAAACATTGACACACTCCCTCCCCCCTCGCTAGTCATACAGCTACCAAAATCTGAAACCTCTCCTTTCAAAATTCCAGCGTACAACACTGCCCAGCACATCAGAAGTAAAAAAAAAAAAAAAAAAAAAAAAAAAAAAAAAAAAAAAACACTGCCCAGCACATCAGAAGTAAAAAAAAAAAAAAAAAAAAAAAAAAAAAACAACTAATAAAAATAAGCATAAACCTGTTGTACACTATTTCCAGGCCTTTAGAGATACTCTATATTGCTCTGACAATGTAGAAAATCCAGTTCACTTGGCTGTTTATCCCAGGGAGCAAAATAATCCGGATCTTTCTTTCTTCTGCATTCTCTCCCCATTCCTGGAAACATTCCCAATGTCACGTTACCTCCAGGAAAGTCATAAGGATGAAATAAATGGTAAAGCACATTTTTTTGCTGAAGTCACGCGTGTAATTTTCGTCATGAATCGACCTTGTGTATTTCATGCAATTGTTGCTTCATGATGGAAACTACGAGGGCATTACTAAAGATCACATTTATTTCCAGGAGAAAAGGAAATGCTTCAATACAATTTCAACATGGAACATTTGCTCCCATAAAATACAAAGGCACTCAACCTTCACCCAATGCCCAACGGTTCTCTTTGGGCATAAAATAAATCATGACTAGCATTGCAAAAGTTCACACAAGACGTGGTAAGTTTAGACTCCACAGTTTCAAACGAGACTCCACAGTTTCAAACGGAGTGCAATGTGAAGAGAGTAAAATCCTGAAATGTCAACAACTTCCAACAAAAAAAAAGAGCGTGGAATTCAATGTCGGGAGTCATTAAAATGTCGTTTCATAGAGTTCAATCGTCAACCCTACAACAGGCCCACCAACTCTTGAGAGGTGAGACTGAAAAAGAAGGATACACTAAAAATCCCTATTCGTGGAAGCCAGGAGATCACAGGATGTGGTGACTGGTCGACTAAATCTTGGTATGGCCGAGGATCCAGGTATTCGGACTCCAAACCCTCATGGATTTTATTTCCATTGCCTCCTTGCAGCGGCGAGGTGCACGTGATCTTCATCGTCCGTATCCGACGCCTTCTCGAGCAGCGTTGACCTGTCGGGGACGTACCCGCTTTCTCCCGGCGACATCTGGTGCTGCAAATAGACACAAAACGGCCGAGAGCTCGTGACGAGGCCTCAAGGCCTCCATAGATAAACACGACTCAGCTGCACATGATAAGGGGAAACATACGCCATATCGGAGAGCACGGCTTTCTCGGATCCTCTGCCTCAGCCGCGTGATGAGGACGATGGCGATGACGACGATAAGAAACGCGATCGTTGCCGATGCCACCGCGATCATCGTCGTCGGGTCCGGCAATTTCGGCGGGACGTCTTCCGGCATCACCTGCCAACAGAGCCAACACATTAGTATAGGCAAAAAGGTCCAAAGCTGCTCTCCAGTGAAATTGTTTCATTTCTTGTTTATTCAGATCTCGTGCGTATTCGAAAAGAATGAAAGGGATTCTCAAGAGAATCGTCTCGCGCACACGAACTCGATTCGAAAGAGTAGGAAGTGAATCAGAATTCTCAGTAGATCTCTTCCTGGAGGGGTGCATAAGAGATAAGAGTCTCCACGGCTACTGGAGTCATACTCCGTTGAAATAGGAGAAAGGAAGCATCTATGGGTAGCAGTGGAGCGACAAAAGGGGGTGTTTATGGGGTGTGAATCCCCTCAAAGGACTGCAAAGCCTCTTCCCCGAAGAAGAATGAGAGGGGAGGGGGGTGTGTGAATGTCTCCCCCATGATTGCAGCGCACTTTTTCGACGCCAGTAGAGTGTGTGCATGGCCCCCCTCGTTGAGCAAACCCCCACCACCGCCCTTGGCGGCCCCAAAAACCTCTCATCTGATAGTGGCTGGCGGAGACCAAGAGCAGTCGAGAACCCCCCCCCCCTTTAAAATTTCAAGTCTAGTCGCGCCACTGAAGGAAAGCGATGAAAGCGATCCTGTCACTATGAAGGAGAATGAATACGCGTCGAAGGTCGCAGTTGGCCGACCATCTCCGACGTTTGTCTGGATAAACTACGGGGATATCTGCTTCTCTTTCGTCTCTTCCGATTCCTGCCTTGGCTTTCCCGAGTCATCGCCCGCATGCGGATGCGGGCTAGCCCGGTTCACCTTCATCGCCATCGTGCGCCAAGGGCAGATTAACGCACTGCGGAAGTTGAGACTTCCTCTCATAGATATACAAGGATAATCAGTTTTTGTTGCCTCCCATTGCGATATCTGGGCTTTAGCGTTTCATGGTGCTACCGTTCCTCGTGTCGATAACGATCGCTCTCGGATCTGCATGGATCATCACTCGCCCAGGAAATGCTACTAAATTCACAGAAACGAGTTTTTTTTCTGCAGTTTCTACATGAGCGAAACTATCCTGCAACCGCCGAAGCTCAATGATTTAACGCATTCACTTACACGTCGCTTTTCTCAGTCTCAGAAGTAGGCCTCTGCACAATGGTCAGAGATATTGATGCGAGCAAGTAGGGCAAACGGGGAACCATTGCTCAAAACGAATATTGAACCCATTGCATACTCTCACGATTCCGCTCATTTACAAATACAAGAAAACTGGTATTGATATAGATTGACTTGGATAAACAGGTATTGATTTCTGCAACTTCGACTAGTGATAAGGAGACAGCGATGAACCTTCAAGACTTCACACTAGGGGGGGCCAATAAATTATATTGTTTGTTCCCATGAACTGCTCTCCACGACAAAATGACTGGGATCGTCCTCCTTTGTAAAGGCTAAATATGAGATGACAAAAAAAAATTTTAAGCATACATTTAAAAAGTAGCAAGCATGGAGTGAATTCGAAAGCGTGGATAAGGACCCAGGGTCTCACAACATTCCAGCAAGAAAAGGGACGACCTTCGAGTTTTTCCTCAAAGGTCTCCCTTGGTCGGAGATAAAGGAGTGGTGATAAGAGTATGACGCAGCCGAGCCGAGGCAAGTTCCACGAATCTGACGCATTGCTGCACAGTAGCACATTTACTGATCACCATAGCCAGAACGAAAACTTGGCAAGCGGTGCTTTATCTTCATTTTGACCTCCTGTAAAATCTACTGCCATGATATTGTCAGGGAAATCTCCAGGGAGGAAACGCTTTTAGCGAACTTTTCCAAGACATGTACTTGGGTTCAAAGAGAGCGTAATATTCAGTCCCATTGAATCTGAACTCATTTTAGTAACTTAGAACGTGCGTATTCTCACAGGATAGCAGTTCACTCGCCACAAATAGATGCAAACTCGATCAACACTCGAGAATAACAGGTGAACTAACCGTGGAATTCCCTGGTCCGGTCGTCGTGAAATTTCCAGGTGCAATGGTCGTGGTGGAATTCTCTAGTAAAGAGATAGTTTGAACAGTATTTTCAGTCATTTCGGTCACAGTGTGATTCGCAGAAGAGGTATTCCCAGTTTTCACGAGCGAATGACTAGTGAGTGCATAGGAATGAAACTCCTCAGTGCTCGCATTCCCATTCGCACTGGTGACTGCGGGGGCCTCGGTCGAGACAGATGGTGTGATAGGGTGAGGGGAAGTCGAGGCGTCGTGCACCCCCCCAGCTCCGGCACTAGACTTAGGATCTACGACACTCGTGCTCGGGGGGGTTGGGGCTGTGGTCGAGTTCAAAATTGAGTTGGTTGAGATCTTTGCGGTTACTGGCACGTAGGTGTCATTGGAGCCAGGACGAGTGCCATTTGGTTTGGATGCAGGAATTCCCGAGTCAGATATGGGGGAAGCTGACGAGATATGATCACTAAAAGTCGAAGCTTTGGTACTTGAACTCCCTGATACGGGCTGCATTTCGCTCTTCGCTGCCACGGTTGAAGTGCTTTCTTCCACGACGGCTGTCACGTCGACCACGTACCGACGGGGGGTTAGTGAATTGATAAAGAGGGGCGCTATGAGTGCACCAACTACAGCAAAGCAGACCACTCCAATCACAACGACATTACACCATCTCGTCCTGTTCATCGGACCCACACCTTTCTGCTGCGACTGAGAACGATTGGCTGGTCCATAGCCTATGCCTATGGCCTCCTCCACCTCCATTTCTTGCAGGAGTGGGGTATATTGAACGGCGTCATTATCGTGACCAGGCATATTGGCTCAGGTACGAGAGGGAAGAACTGTTTCCACCAAGGAAGACGCGGGCAAAATAGTGCACCAAACATCCAGCTGCAACGCTAGTCACAGCGAAAAACACTGCCCCATGTGGAGCGCCATGTCAGCACGTGAGGAAATACAAAGCCCGCTTTACGTCACCACTGTAGTCTGCTACGTCTTTCCGTTAGGTTGGCTGGCTCGCTATCCCAGTTTCTTTTCTCAACGACAAATTGCGTCTCAACAGTTCGATGATTCAAAGCTATATCTTCGTGGAGTCGAGCAGTGTATTGCAACTGAACGCTGCCATCCAGTAGGATACTAGGAACATCTGCATTTCCCCCATCCCCATACCCAATCCAGGCAGCCGGACTGCACAGGTGCATTCACAAGCGCGTCTGCGGTTATTGATGTGCCCGCATAGCAGATACTGCATCGTGAATAAAACCTGGGAGAGCCACGTCTACCAAATAAAACAGCTGCATATAGTTCCAAAGTGGTGCTACATTATATTCTATAACCCCATCACAAAAGGAAACATTCATTGGAACAAATGATATATCAATAACCAGAAAAATTGAAGAAAAAAAAGAACATACAATGCAGTAAGCCACATCATAAATGAAAAATTAACAAAAGGAATATAAATAAATGAGTGAAAATGCTTCAAAGGATTCACTGACCATGATGTTATTCAAAGGATTCACTAAACATGATGTTATTAAAGAAATAGAGTAGGCCTGATCATCTCCATTCTTCTCAAAAATAAAAAGGACTTACACTTGCAAAACACAACCCAACTGTTGTATGAAAGTTCATGAATGCTGCAAAAATGAGTTAGCTCTTCCACAAGTCTTTTTAGGAAATCTTTGGCTAGGTTATCCACAGCAGAGCAGTAATGCTATGCAGTGCTCAAATTTAGACCCTCCAGATCCTTTGACCATTGCACTTCATTATTTACAAATCTCCTAGTAACCTTATGAAATCCAGTCTTCTCATCTCAAGGTGCCCCCAATCACCTTGTATGCTACGCATCTTGAAGGGACAAGGTCTGATTCATACAGCAAGTAAGAGGATTTGTAAAAGGTATATTGCAAGAGTTACTTTTTGGACAAACACAGTGAGATGTACGGAGAGACAAATAATCTCAAAGGTAGATATCAACAGGTCATGCTCCCACCAAAATGATTACCATATTAGGGGTCTGTTGTAGATTTCCCTTGACATGATCTCCTTAGAAGTAAAGATCGATTTTCCCCTGTAAGGTTCTAAGATAACAACAACAAAAAAAAACATGGCAATGGAAATACAGTTGCAATGCAACAACCAATACAATAAACAGTAAAAAATATATGCATATATTCTGGCAAAAAAAAAAATTAGACTATGGTAAAAGTACATGCAAGATTTTAACACAGGTTTTTGTGAGGAATGGGAGGCAGAGACTAGCTTCAGCCAACAATCACCGGGAGAAGCCTTATTTTTTCCCATAGAAGCCAATGTTGAAATCTTTTATGGACTTTTACAACATCCAACTTTTTTCCCACTGAATATGTACTACATGAGAGGAAAAACTGCCAAAAAAAAAGTAAAATCATACCCTTAAAGCATTTAACATCATCCACAAGATCATGTGCATCTGAGCAAGAACAGAATGAAGCAACACACCTCAGTTATATTTCCCACAGTAAAGTAAGCCCATGCCTGACTGGAAAGTGAATCAATAATAACAGGTACAGGGGTGACTAGGTATGATAACACAAGTGCATATCTTCCATCTTGCCAAGTCACCTAACAGTAATACCATATGGTGCTCACTGGTCTCAAAGAAATAGTGCTGCAACTTAGAATTAAACAGTAAATCTCCAGCAAATTATTAAATTTTGAAATTGGATACAACATTTAAAAAGTGAGAAACATATTCCAGCAGGCATCCTCACCATTTTCAAAGCATGGCAATCCTTCTAAACTTCCAGATACAGGAAGTGCCACAATCTTGTCAAAATCCTCAATGGTCACAATACCCTATCAATGCTACTTCCCATGTGGATATGCAAGCATTTTTTTTAATTCCTTCAAAGATAGGAGGTGGCTAAAGTTACAATCTTTTTCCTTGTAGACCATATTGTATAAGAGGAAAAGAGTGCAAGTTGCAAGCTCTTGGATTGTAGCTACTATCAGAATACAGTCGATTAAACAACAGACGATAGCTATGGTACATGCTAATTTGTCATTTTGCACTGATCACAAAGAAGAGTTCTAACCTCAACTAAGGTATGTCCCATGACAGGGATAATAATCACATCATGGTCATGTGACTTATTTCAACCCCACCCAATTCCCTCCCTCTCACAGGAGAGCTATGAAAATACATTTTTATACAATCTATAAGACTAACATAAGTGCCATATATCCCAGACAACTTTTACCAGCTGAAGCTCAGTATAGTCATAATTTTTAAACTATACTCAACCTAAAACCACATATACTTAACTTAATAGACAATAAATAACAGGGAAGTAAACAATTGACCCCCTTCTACTGGCTAGAAAAGCTGAGACATTATTTGATATTGTTAAATAGCTGCAGGTCTCCTCCCTGATTAATGCAAATGCATAAGGGCTATTTGGCTTTGGAGCAGGGCAATCAAATCATCAAAGGAAGCTCCAAAGCCATTGAAACAACTTCCATTGCAAGACAGTAGAGAAAATGTAGAAGAGATGCAGCACGATGAAATAAAGAAGATTGTGTTTGACAAGACGAGGAGTTGGGATCACTTTCCAATTCAAATTTTCAACAGGTTTTGGGAAGGCACCAGTTTCATAGAATTGCCTGAGAAGTTTCTCCTTTTCAGCATAGAGGTTTATTATCCACTTTGTGAGACCTTCTTGATCACTGGGTACCTGAAAGCACAAAAAAGGATCCTACATAAAATGAGTAAATTAGATTGTATGGATGAAGAGAATGGAGACAAACCTCGTCAATGTGAAAACGTTGGAAATGGAAGACAATTTTACATGGAGGGTGAGCACCTGTGACAATCACTCCCAGATCAAGGGGTTTGGCCTCCTGGTAGCCAATCGTCAAGTCTACAATCCATTGAATTCCCTCCAGATTAGTGGCTCCTGCATGAAAAAAAAAACTTTAGGGATCTCTCATCTTCATAACCTTCCAAAAAAGTAGTTCAAGCTCCCATTTCAGAATTATTTCAGGAAACAATAACAGCAGAGAGACAGACCTTGTTTACTGAGGTTGTTCTTCAGCTTTGAACCAGAATGAAGAGTCTCCAAAACCACTTCCAGTGCTCCAACACGGGGAAGTGCAACATGTTCTAACACAGGTAAACCATTTTTCTCTGCATACCTGAAAATTCAATGAAATAACATTGAAATGGATGATGAAGAAATACCAGTATTTAATAATTCCAGCAAATTGGAGAGCTGGTCTGTTACAAATCCATCAGTTGAGAAGCTCATACCTCTGACTCATCTCTCTTCTTTTCCTGAGGAAGCCTCCTTCAGGAAAGAGTATTAACCACTTCCTATCACGTACTTTGTAGGTGGTGCTCAGGTGTTCCCTCAGGAGTGACAGTGAAGCATTTCTCTCATCCTTACCCTATGGATATAAGAATTTTCTCATTTGATGTTTGAGAATGCCACATGCCATGTGATTTGAATTAATCAACATGAACTAGCATCAATTAAGGAGAGCTCACAGATACAATGAAGAAGTCCCCATGATGAACAGATACAAGCCCAAAGTTGGTGAACTTGAAGAGTTTGTCCATGATCCACATAACATGTCTAGTTGTTCCTCTTTTTGAAGTGAAGTAGTTCATCATCAGTGGCACATCTGACGTAGACTGGTGATTGGCCATGAGCAGGGTTTTCTCTTGAAGAATGTCCGACACATCATCTCCCATCTCATACACTAGTAAATTGGAGAACTTCTTAGTACAGAAACTATGATCTTGTGAAAAGACAGGTATGGTGAATCTGCATTTTCAAATTGATGTCTTACCCATGTGTAAATATCTCTACTTTTAAGCCAGTTGAATCAACTCATAAAAGGAAAACATGTCTCTTGTCATTCGCCATTCATGGGATAGCGTTGACACCATGATGTTCACAAATTGGTAAATTAAAACAAATCCATCAGTATGCCTATATCTGTTCATATATTACTTACCATGATAGCCAGCAGACCACGACCAGACAGCAACTTGTGCAAGGAGCCATTCGAACAGAATTCCTTCCCAGGCATAATAGACATCAGGGCACAAGAGGTACACCGGTGTTAACAACCATAACCACACAACATATGCTGGAATGCAATAGAAATTGTTCACAATGATGAAGAACGTCCTCCAGATGTATCTCAACACGTCCAAAAAAGCAGCCATCGTCGAAGCTTTGGAATTATCGTGAATTCAAACAAGTTCAAGTCGATCTTGTGAATAAAACCACTCAGAATTGCATCATCCAACTAATACTCGCAGTTCCACGTTGCCTGAAGATGATGAGTCGCATGCTCCTCTGCGGAGCGCCATGCTGACCAGTAACTCCAGTCTCACTCAACAGATGTCTTGAGTGTCACGTCTGGAACATATCGTTCCTGGTGGTGAAAATCGTTGCATTCAATCTCATCTATTTTGGGCCAAAAATGTTGCACTGTGTCAGGTCTTCTAGATTTAATATGAGGCTACTTTGACTTCACCTCCGGATGGCAGGAGGCAATATGTCCACATCAAGTTGTGACGCGTGCCTTTAAGCATTTAATTGATCCTGAATCCATGCCAATAATAGCTGTTGGGGACCAAGGTAGGACAAGAGGAAAAAGACGGGTAGATATCTTACTAATTTAGACATGCGATTAAAATTTTTGGTCTAAGCTACTTACAGGTTCAATGGCCATGCCAGCTGATAGTGAAAAAAAAAAGAGAATAAAGAAACAGCATCCAACTTCATCGACGAGGGTTTTTCTTCGTTCCAGTGCCTTCTCTATCCTAAATTCCCCACGTAGATGCCAGACTGCACACCTCCTGAACGTGTCAGTTGGGGGGGGGGGACACTTCGTTTGAGTTTTCATGCATGGAGACCCTTTCGGAAGTACCAAATACAGTCGTATGTACAACAATATGTATTTTGACATTTTTACTATATATGCGCCGAACTCAGGTGGAAGAAGCTAAGGGACTTTATATGGCCAAAACACGATTTGGACATATATGGACAATTTTGCAACTTATAAGAGCCCATGTACGGTCATATTTCATGTCATAAATTAAGTCTTTATTTGGAACTCCCGTACGGGGAGAACGAGCTGCATCTTTTGCTCCGATCCCAAGCATTTGCAGATTTGAGGCAAACTTATTCACCAGATTACAGTACCGGAGCTCCAAATAAATACTTAATACATTATTTTAAATATGGCCATACATTGGCTCTTTATTTAAAACATATATGATGCAAATATGTCCATATCATGTTTTGGCCACTTTAAGTCCCTTAACTCCTTCCACCTGAGTTTGGCGCATGTATAGTCAAATATGTCCAAACACATCCTGTACATACGACTGTACTTGGTACTTCCATAAGGGAACTTTCAACCAGAGGGACCAACAAACTTCCCATCATCTCTGACTCTCCCTAGAGTCCGCCATTCCTCATACGTTCGTTCTCTGCCCTCCTCGAATGAGCCTCCCTCTCTCGCACCGTCATCAACTCCGCATTTATCAGAAGGAAATTGATTGCACGACGAGCGGCCTTCGTCGCTCTTTCAGGGTTTTAATGAATCAATTGCCTCCTTGGGTCCGCGCACCACATGTAAGAAAAGCCCAGGTTACCCATAATGCCTTTCGATGCGCTGCCCCCCCCCTCTGCGATTTTGTCTCTGGCTGCCCCAACGCAGTTTGTTCATCGCCAGCTGGGAGTGACGACTTCCGACATTCTCTCGCTTCAGAATTTAGCGGTTCTCAACTCTACGAGAGATCCATATTTTGCTTATTTAAGACTCCACAATCCCCACGAAAAGGTTTCCGACCGATAGAATACAGGTGAAAAAACAGTCTGACAAAAACATATGTTGCGTCCTTGCGCCCGAGGCGACCCCGACCCGGCGTCGAGGGTCTCGAGACCCTCGATGAACCCTTGCGACGATTATGGCCAGCATGCTCTGGTCTCGACTGCTTTTAGGTTATGTTGCATGTCTCGTGTGAAACTTCACGTCGAACATTTGCTCCAATGAGGATTCAATTTCAGAGTAATCCGGTTTCTAAGATGAAGCTCGATATATTTTTTGTGATCGTATTTTCATATTTAGAAGACGCAATTCCATGTAATATTGCTTGAAAAATCCAAATTAATTTATTTGTTCGGCCTTCAGGCTGTTCGCGCGGAGTCATTCCGGCGCGTTCAGATTTTTCTTGGCTTTGGAGAAATTGATTTCGTGGCACAACAAAGGTAGGATTTTCACGCTTCCGACACGCATTCAGAGCGCAAATCCGGTCGGATTAGCGAGAATCCCTTCCGCATCCTTCGCGTGACCCAACGTGACCCGCCCGAGCGAGGTCACCGAGAGATGAAACCATGGAACTCGTTCTCTCGCCCATCTGCAACTTGTTGACGGCTTCGACGCGGAAAAGGAGTCAGGAATAGCGAAGGGATTTGCGAGAGAAATTCCCCGGGGCATCCGGAGGCCCTGCATCCTCGCTTGCCCAAACAAACAACAACCCGTTCGGTCCCTCGTCCTTCTTCGGTTTCTTTCGTGGCAGGTGACGGAGTCGGACCTCCTTTCACTTCCACCCGTTATGCAAACTCCGTGCAAAAATACTCGAAGGGGGTGGGGGTAATTCGTGGATTCCGCGGAAAATGTTTGTAAATTGGCGGCGAGGCCGTTTCCGTTTGACCGTGGCCTCCTTTTTTTAATGCAAACATGGAGCAGATGCGCCGACTTTCCCAGGGTTCAAAGGGTTGGAGATCCACGAAATAATGGGGCGGGCTTGTGCATGGATTGCATATTTCCTTATGCATGGGGTGACCATCGTTTCCAATCACGGCTTGCACATGTCCGGTCGTGCCGCCGTTTTCTCCCGCTTTTTATTGCCAGCTGCCCTTTTGTGAGCCGTCGATTTGCGATCGTTCACGAGTGGGCGCACAATGAGTTATCAGATGCGCACAATAAGATGTCCATCCCGGGGATGGACGGATCGTTCGATCATCGGGGAGGGTCGGTCGATCGTCGGGGAGGGTCGGTCGATTCGGTCTTGCGGTCGGGTCCAAAGGGTTTTGTCGCATCCGGGATCCGAATTCCCCGTCGTTCCGAGATAATAAGTTTTTTTTTTTGACGAGGACCAGACAAAGAGACGTGACAGAGATGACGGCCAAGATTGTGCGGGGATTACCGATGGTACAATAATCGGCCAGACCGGCAAAAGGAGTTCAAAGGAGAAAGAAGAGAGAAGAGAAGAGGAAATGCACCAGCTGCATGGCCTCGGGGCCCCCGAAGGAGGTCATGACCGAGGGTCACCGACCCCCGACCGAACCTATTTTTAGGTCTGCACCGCATAAACAACTCAGGAGAAGCAACATTACTCAGGGTTGACAGGGCAAGAGGCTGCGTGGTTCTAGCCTCTTTCGCCCCCCCCCCCCCCCCCCCCCCCCCCTTTGTTGGCCTGGGGAAGGTCAAAGAACGCGACCCCATTGAAGCTCCCTCGGCGATGTGCCACTTCCAGCGAAGCTCCGTGTCAAGCCCCTTGGCTTTTTTTTTTTCGAGGATGAAGACGCTCCAGAGGAATTTTTGCGATCGACGAGTAAAAATTAGAGGGAGAGAGATCGTAATGAATGAAAATATGATAAGTATGAATGAGATTTTTACTGCACGTTAAGGTGGTTCCCTATTCAGCCAAGAAAGAGGATAAAATCCTGGCTTCTGCGTCGTGTGGCATCTTTAGAATTTATATATATATATATATATTCCATGTGGAATTAGAAGAAGCGTGAGATGGAGGATCTGCAACGCGCGTCCCCCCCCCCCCCTGCCCCCTCTACCCCTCTCCCCCCAATCTCATTAAGATTCGTGGGATCCAAATGATCTCCCGCTTGTCGATCCCCATTGATCCGGAAAAGCATCGTGATTGTCATAAACAATATCTGACCGCAGCATGAGCTGCGCCCTTTGCATTTCCTGGGAATGCCTGCTCCAAAAGACGAAGTGGGGAGATTGGGGGGGGGGGGGAGAGGGCGGAAATGCCCCGAGGGGCTTTTTCCCCCCGCCCAGGGGCAGAAGTGATGGCGATAATTCCTGGACGATGTCGGAATCACATCTGCAACCGGGTTTCACTGGGACATTCGACACTTCTATGGTCATCTGTTGAAATTTTTTTCCTTTTCCTCCCCTCTGTCCGAATTTTCCTGACCTTGAAATCTCAAACTGCTACGGAGGTTCCCAAAAATGGGTGCAAGGTCATTCGTGACCCGCCGGAAAAAGGCCTCCTCCGGTGCTCATTCATCCGGTCCATCCGGTTCATCCGGTGGCTATTTGTTCTGGATTCGCTGGTGTGGAAACGCCGTGGATGAGGTTTTGTTTCCACGGTTCTATTTTGTTGCCCCAGGGGAGGCAGAAAACCTGAGAAATGTCGTGTTATGTCAAGGTTAGAGACGGCTGATCCGGACTCGATCGGTCGATGAGATAAGCCGGTCGGAATCGCGAGACGATCCGTCCGACTCCTAGCCGTTCTTACGCTCGGTTTCTGGAGTCCCCTGTAACCGAGGCCGGAGTTTCTTGTCCCCTGTAACCGAGACCGGGGTTTCTGGTCCCCTGCCCTCGTGACATTGAGAGGGTGCAAGGAGGAAGCCGTTCTTGCGGTTTCGCGCTTGCGTTCCGCCCGCCCCGAAATCAGAAACACGTGTTTCCAACGGACACGGACGGGCATCGTCCGTCTTTCGAGGGGGGTCGGGGAAAAGAGGGGAGAAAAAAAAATCATTCGGGAAATCGGGAATCGGTCAGTCTCCGCATGCCTCTGCTCCCATCTCGTCGCATCCCCGGTGAGTGAACGCGGATGTTCCCATTTTTCGTGACCCGATTTTAGCAGATACCCCGTTCCGGCCAGACGGCCAGGAATTCTTCCAGTCTAGACGTCACGTTACGGGCGAAGCGAGGCGAACCGAATCTGGTCCAGGCATCTGTGGCGGGATATTAGCAAGGGGGCTAATCACAACAATGCAACGCAAAACCGGTTAGACCAGGGGGTGGAGGCGAACAGAGAAGGTGGGGGGGTGGAGGGGGAGGGAGCTAGGGACGAGGACAATCAATGAGTCCGAAATAGCCCGTGGAGGCTCCTCCCCCCACCGATGACCTAAGAGTCATGAACGAATAGGGTCAATTTCCCCTCGGGCCCTTCCCTCGTCTCTCCTTTTTTCCCCTTTCTGACCCAACAGCTGCCCGGTCCAGTCGGTTTCAGTGTCTCTCGACTTCCCCGTCCGCGAGCATTGTTTACGCCGTGCCTACCTTTTGCATTCCTGTGAGTTCCGGGTCCGACCTCCGTCCTTTCTCCTCCGTTCGATTCTTCCTCGTTTTCTTCTTGCTTGATGTATCGTTTCGGAGAGGGTGCTGTTTATGTTCGCGCGGGGGGGAAGGTGTCCGCGTCTCGTGGATTCGCAGTCGAAATCGAATCGGGCTGAAAATTCGGTGTGGTGCGTGAGGAATGGCATTTCTCCATTGTAGCTGATGGCATTTTCCTACGTTTTAATGAATGTTTCTTAAGCCAAATTTTCCTTTGAAGAATGTCATGAAGAACCTAGTGCACTAGGAGGAGGAGTTTTCATAAAATTTAAGATTTATCATTTAAAAAGTGATATGTATTTTTCTTTGTGTCGTCAAGTGAGAAGGCTCCTCTGCAAGGAGGAGGAATAAATTAGCAGGTCGGTGTAGGAATCAATTTACGTAAACAGATCTGGTTACAGGAGGAAAATCTGGCTTGCAGGTTATATCCGAATTAAGGGAGAGAATATTTAAAGAGGTATTTCATACGATGAAAAATATTTCCGAACTGGCGCAAAGAATTGGGATTCCTCGCGTCTCGTCGCCCACGGGATTTCGAGTCCGAGCAGCATACAACAGTGCAGATAGTCGGAAAGACCGCGTAAATTTCGTGGGGACGGTTTCGTTCTCGTCCCCGAAGGTATTGTGGAACGATCCGCGAAGACATGTCTCTTCTAAATGACGTGGGTGAATCCGGTCCCAACAATTATCGGTAGCCGTCACTATCATACCTCGGAAGAGTGCAATTATTCGTGTCCCTTGACAGAAACGAAACGACGTCCGCTGTGCACGGATATTATCTGATCGATGATGCCAGGTTCTTTGTCGGTTTCATCGGATTGCCATTATCCCAGCGGAAAGGATGAAATTGTCATTGTCTCTAGCGGAACGATTTCGGGCTAATCGTGGCACCGCCTAAGCCTTAATTATTACTCCTCTTAATATTGCATAGGAATCAAGCACTGCAATCATTGATCCCGACGACACCTCCCCCTGAATTATGCAAGCACCCCGCGGAATGACCGGGGCCAAATAGAGTCATAATCGAGGGGTCACGATGTTTCCGGTAGATTCGTGCAGTCCGCAGCGATTCCTCATGGCGACGCGGCTGATCGGGGACAAGGGAAGGCATCCCTTGTTCATGGGGACGCCTCCGCCTGCGAGGGCCTTCGCGCCCATCCACCCGGCCGAGGACCAGCCGTTGGACTTCTCGACCAAGAGGAGTTATGGGTCGTGGGAGAGCAAGAGCCCGATCATGAGCGACGGGTCGTCGAACGACGAGCACAACGGGGGGACTCCTATGGGTCGAGGCGGGTATGCCTCGCCGGAGTCGCAGGCGATCTCGTCGCCGGAGCCGACTCCGCTCTCGGAGATGCCGCAGCTTCGGAGTCGGTTGGCCATGTCGCCCGGGCCGGCTTGCGCTGCGATGGGTCCGCTCGTTCAGTCCCTCGGATTCTTCCAGTCGGAAACCGGGAGTCCGAGCACTTCGTCGGCCGGGGGTCTCGGATTGCCCGGGTTGGATCCGTCCGTGATGACTTCGTCCCTTCTGTCGTCTCCGTTGTCCCTGCCCGTTCCGACCTCGTTGCCGTTGATCATGAACGGGAAGAACAGCACGAGTGGGAAGACGACCCGGCCTTTCAAAGCGTATCCGCGAGATCCTCTCAGCGTTCCCTTGGGTTTCTACGGGCTTCCGGCTGCCGGAATACCCGGAATCTCGTCGGCCGAAGTCGTCCTGCAGCAGGCGAGCAACGAAGCCTACTCCAAGTTCAGGGAACAGATGCTCGCAAGCGTCCAGGCCGCCAAGCGACGATCCGGTGAGTCCCATCAGAATATCCCGAGAGAAAATTCAACTTTCTAACTTCTAATTCGGAATCCCCGACGAGATTCTCACGAACTGAGACGAATACTCCTCTGAATCCCAATTAGATTCTGTGACCATAAAACGAAATGCAGAATATGCAGGATCTCCTCCGTCGATGCCCACAGGCAGCAAAGAAAAGGAGAAGGAGAAGGGAAACGAGTCCGGAGGCGAAACGAGCTCCGTCGACGTCCGCCCCGCAAGCAGAGACTCCACCTCCGGCGAGAAACGGAAACTCGAGGAAGACCAAGGAACGAACAAGGACGAAGCCTACTGGGAGCGGCGGCGGAAGAACAACGAAGCGGCGAAGCGGAGTCGCGAGGCCCGGCGAGCGAAGGAGGACGAGATCGCCATCCGCGCCGCCTTCCTCGAGCAGGAGAACCTCAAGCTCCGCATCGAGGTCGCCGCGTTGAAAAGCGAAACCGCCAAACTCAGGTGCATGTTGTTCAACAGCTAGTCCAAGCGCTTTTATCACGTCTCGCGAACTAGTCGAGGGCGATGCAAGCGAAAATGAGAATCGAAAACTTTCCGACCAGAGATAATGCGACTTTTCTCATGAGTGCCTTCAAGAGATTTCTGTTGTTTTGCTCAAAGTGTGACATGAACTCCTACTGTGATTTCATTGTATCCTACTGATGCCTTTTTTCGTTGATTCGTGCAATGTGTTTTTCCCTTCGTGCTCGATCTCTAATGTCTCCGTGCCATAAAGGGACGTATCGCAAAACACGTCTTTTTTTTAATATTCGAATTCGAGTCGCCACAAATCCGAGAGCTCGCCTTTCCAAATGACTCGAAACAAAGTCGGTAATCCTAATTGGCAGGTGACCAGATCTTTGTGACGAGGGGAATTTAGTTGTCACTCTCGGACCCCGGCGGCTCCTTTTCTCAACGGCGAACGAGGAATTCCACGACAATATGAGCTGTTGAAACGCAGCACCAGGCAGACTCCATGGTACTAATCCTTGTATTTATTGTCTACATTTCGAGACACGTTTTCATGTGCAGATGAGGCGTTGAAGCGTGAAAGCTCATTGAAAGAAACTGCCGCCAACTAAGTGTTAGAAAATAGGAAAGCGCCCCAAGCATATGCCAGTTTTTATTTCCAGCAAAAAAAAAAAAAAGTTGGGTCAAGGTACTTGCTAGGATTTGAAAGATTTTAAGAAGACGAGTGGTCCAAGCATTACACTTATGTCAGATAGCTTCATATAGTTAACTCTGAGAACACTTGTGATAGCAGAACTCAGATCCCATTCATTTCCCCAACATACATCCATTCACAAATCGGCACTAGGAAATGTTGGCATTGGTTTGAAGGTGCGATACCGTCACTCGGATCTCACGTGTATCAGTCACGATCTTTGACGTCATTCCGATGCCGGATCGTTACGATTCCCAGCCGTGAATGAAAGTGCATAAAGGACAGGTGAGATATGCGTGCAGGTCGTAATGGTTGGTAATGAGAAGGATCCAAGCATGTGATCACGACGCGGCGTCACCTGATCCACATTAATCCCTCTGATGAAAATTTCAGGAAGCGGCCGACCCCCCCTCGTCCGTTATTGCCGGGTTTTTCCCTTTCTACCTAACCTCGGAGTTGTCGATAAGTGGGGGGAAAAGCGGCGGACGATCGGAGTTGCGATATAAAATATCTCTGGAGGAACGAACTTGAAAGACTTATCTGCTGCCGCAGCGCCTTGTTTCATCGTTATCGCTGCCAATTTAATTGCCGCGAACATCAGCACAAGAAAATTTGCTATTTTTCTGGGGAAATAAATGTCCAATATGTTCGTTATGTTTATGATTTATTGATTTTTTCAATCTGTGTCGTGAAGAGCTAGTAGCTTAAATTTCTGAAACCTCTGTTTTCTTATGCTTTGTTTTTTCTTGCTCTTGGCGTAAAATCTGTGCAAATTTAGACGGGTCGTTTCGTTCAATATTGTACCCGAAGTAGGGAGAGTGGAAGGAGAAGCATTTCTTTTATCGGCGCTCTGAATGGAAGGAGCTGAATACGCGGGCATACGGCCGCGAATAAATCCCACTAAGTACGGGAACATCGACTGGGAGCATAAAAGCATGAAAAAATGAGGGGATCGTTGCATCGTCATTACGCGGTGTGCACCCCAATTGATGCTCACAGGGAACGGCAGGACGCGAAAGAGAGGATAACAAATGAGCAGTCATTGGGAAGGGGCTCGGTAACCGGCTGCCACGTGCGGAGGGTCTCACGATCGCCGATGCGACAGGTAGAGAGGGAAAAAAATCCTTTCAGACATGCAACGAGGCGATGTCGTTTTTTTCGTTCGTGTCGACTTCCTCGCGTTCTTGGCTTGTCCGTGCGAGTACCTCCCCGGCGACTCGGTCGCGCCCCGTGGGATCCTCGAGCGGGATGGAGGGAGGCATGAACGAAACGAGTGGGAGAGGGGCATGAGATGTGGGGTCTTAGGAAAAAAAAAAAGACCCCCAAAACGAGGGGGAAAGTCACTGCAGAAGCAAATGCGAAAATGCAACCCTGCTATGTAAATGCTAAATAATGAAAAAAGGTTTCTGGTACATGTGTTGCAAACGTGCCGGAGTAGTTTTCATCGAAATTAGTCGATGGAAACTCTTTAAAAAAAAAATAAAAAAAAAAACATTGAAAAAAAAACCGTTAACATATTTTAAATTTGAGAATTGGAATGAAAATATTAAGGATAGTAATCACAGTGTAAGAAATCATACGCTAAATTAAGCACTAAGGGCTTTTGGAGAGTTTCTTCGATGCACTGCAAATCGCATATAGAGTCAAGACCTGATTTAACGGATATTGCAATATCCTGTGCATGAATCACAATGCCAAAAATTATTATTTTCTTTCTGAAGCATGATGTTCAAACTAAGTTTGAGCCTTTCCGTGCCTTTTTTTTTCCACTTTTGCCTACGCTATTGGGGGAGGGGGGTTTCTGGATGGCTTCATTTTTTCGGAATCCCGTCAGGACCAGTGACCTTGAATCGGGTCCGAGACTGCTCACCGTTCACAGGCTGCGACGCTCGTTTAGGCCGTTACAGAAACGACGATTCCACCTTGAGCCAAGAGCAACGCGAGCCGTGGGGAGACGCGAACGCATGGAAGAATGAGGGACCTCTCACGACTTCCGGAGTCCATAGGCTTTCGTGCAGGACGGCGGGAGACTCCACGACAGAGCCTTCGCCTTCCCGCTGAGTGTGATCCACCTTTTACGAACTCCCGTTCACGTCTGTTCAAGTCCCGTGCTCTTCCGCGTAAGAGTCTCTTTCATCGACTTTACTCTCAGCTCATTGCGGAACGACGAATAGTGAGCACATTTAGCACTGCAGGATATGGTCCACGCGTAATGTGGCATATTTTCACTCGTACCGACATGACACGAAGCCTAACATATGCAGTGTTGGGCGCGTTACTTGTGACAAGTAACTAGTTCCAATTACAAGTATTTCATCCAAAAAGTAATTAGTTACCAGTAGAATTACTTCTCACCAAAAGTAACTAGTTACAAGTAGAAGTTACTTTTCAAGTTACTTTTCCTAACAAAAATTCCGATCTTTCCACAGCTTCTCCACTTCTTCGACAGAAGCTGGATGCGTGGACTGAAAGCGAAAGTTACCCCTGATTTCATGAAAATTGAATTATGATCATCACTTAACTGCATAAATACTCATGCTCACTCTTTTCCCTGTGCCTCTTCCCTTTCCATGGGCTACTTAAAAGGAATTATATACTGATAGACAGAATGCACCCTTAAGTTTAAAAAAAAAGCCAATTTAGCCATTGGTGATGGGGAGACTTACCCCAGCCTGCCTCTTATCACAAGTACCAGATAGAAAAATAGAACAAACCAAAGTCATGTTCTCTTGTTTTCCCTTAACCAGACATGGACTGCATAAATCCAACTTATACAATGATTGAAAAATAATTTTCACTAACTTTTACAATGTAATGGTATTTTTATGGTGCAATCAAGGAGATAAGGTTGTTTCAACCATGAAATAGGGGAATTGGGTCTGAGGTGTTCATGTTAAAGGTGGTACATATTCACTTGCAAATCACTGTTCATTAAGTTAGGCTCTCCACTTTGAAGTGCGAGTGCTAGGCCTGAGTATTAACAGAGTCTAACTAATGATAGATTGTTGGAAGAATGCTAAAACGGGGCACTTGAAATATGAAGAGGCAGGTATGGTATACTCGCCTGCCGAGCCTAAAGGGGATTGGACAAAATTGAGGAGAGAAGTGCCAATGATAAGCATACAAAAAGTTTCTGTGCGGATGCACTATCAGAACCAAAGCAACGTCTATCATTCCGATCTAACGTAAGACCAAAGATTGTCTGTATGGAGTCAGGACACGATGGAACTATCTAGACATGCTTTCTCAAGTTAAATGCTGAATTTCGTGTAATGGAAAGTACCTTGGCCATGAGTAAACATAGAGCAGTTCGCACAAGAGTTTGCATCGATGCGGTGGTGTATTTTGGCTGAAGGGTCGGGGTGGGGGACAGGGCAATAGAGCTAAACCCCACCCGAGAGATATCGGGAGAGAAAAGTATTACCTCTAAAGTGGGGATAGGCTGTCCCAGAGGCGCCTGGGGGCGGCTACCCCCTGTAAAATACGTCTCTCAGCATCGATGGAACTCTCGAATTCGTTTCTGACCTGCACATCAAAATATTTTTGCAAGTACGACCAAGAAACCTGCACTGAATAAACCATGTTTTCTCAAGCCCATTTCATGTCCCCATATTTTCTCCAAATATTGCATCAATTAGGATGCATGTGACCATGAAGCGCTGGTTGTTTTCAGCAAATTTAGTTAATCATCAAGGAAAGGAACGCATTACTGTAACGCCATGAAAAAGGAACTAGTTACCAGTTCCGTTACCCTCCCCTGAAAAGTAACTCGTTACCTTAAAAGTTACGGAAAAAAGTAATTAGTTACTGTAGCGCGTTACTTTTACTTCGTTACAGCCCAACACTGCCTACACTAATATTAGGTTTGGTTCAGGCACGTTGGAGGTGTTAAAGTTGGCCAAGAATTAGGTCTAGAGAACAATATGGGCTTTATGTAAGTATCTTCATTTACAGTGTATGTAAGAATATTGTATTTTGAAAAATCTCTTTATTGCACACAACTAAAAACTAAAAGTCAGAATATCTGAGTGTTTTTTTTTCAAGGATATGGAAAACCTAACACTTTTCACATTGAATTCACCTCCCCCCTGAAGCTCTTCAATTGACTGTAAGCTGTGACATCTTTCTGTGGGTTGTTCCATGGATCCACTGGATGTGGTGTTGCCTTTGTTCTGCAATGTCCAAATGGAGTAGGAATTTGATTTTAAAAAAAAGAGAGTATGTTTCTTATTCTACTATGTATAATTTAATATTTAGGGCTCTATATGATGGAAGTTGTAGTTTTCACATGAGGAAGATTTCATGAAATATTCACCCAACAAGACCATACCTCTGACATATCTGCCAGAAAACATGTTATGTAAAAAATGTGCTTCCTATGAAATCTTTCTCATTGTACAAAAGTCATGCATATTTTTCTGTGCATCATTTAACTTGTATATTGAGGATTTCTTTAATGAAATGGACACTGTTTTATAAGTGCAAAGGCAATTGGACCATTTTATATTTAAAAATGTGCATATTCTTGTGAGAGACTTCAATGTAAGTAAGTCTTATAGTTGAGTCTTTTGTTGGAGCCATGGTTATACCTGCAAATTAACTAAATCCTGAACAGTGAGTTTAAAGGTGGGAACTGAATGGCCAATGTTTTAGGGCCACTCTATACCTGGCAAGTGCAGCCATGGAGTCATTGGAGTCAACTTCATTGCATCTATAACTGAATGTGAAGTTATCATCCTCCATATCTTACAAACAGATATGGAGAAATTGATCTCATTTGCCTGAAGTTATGCAAAGGTGTCATGTCCCCCCTTCAGTTAGTCATTAATAATCAAGTGAGTGGTGGTATATGTGAAAGCAAAATGTATTATACGGCTGCTTCTAAGATAATATAGAATTATACACCCTGTCATCTGAAACTTTCTTGTATGTTTACCTGTAGGTTGCATTTCCATAGAGTGTCCCTATACAGTGTTTTTCACTTGACTCAGACACGTGCATGGGACGTTCCTCATGCATGGGTGTCGAAGTCAATTGAAAAAGTGTCTAACTTAAGTGAAAAGCACTGTAGTTTGTTATTTCTTGGGAATTTGATTGATAATTTCTGGGAATTCAACTTTGATGTAAGGTTTTCTGTTCTCTTTAGATGGAAAATATGTGAAGGAACATATGTGATTCATAGGCCTAAAAGCCCCAGAACTGGGTGCCCCCATGGATCCTTGTCATAGGAGACAAAGCTTTCTTGTGCTGACTGGCATTCAAATTATTCCAAACCTTCAAAGGGTGTCCTGTGAAGCACTGAGTGGGAAGAATGGGTGAACTTCAAGCAACAGTTGAATTCTCTGTGGAACTTCACAAGTTCTATAATGTTGACCTCTTTCAGAAAGGGTATGATTTGCCTATTGGTCTTGTTATGCCATTTGCTTCCACTGTATGTGCTGCTAATGTTTGCCTTAATGCCTCCCCAGGAGTAAACTTTCATTTTGGCATGCTCTTGAACTTATCTCCTCCTAACCTCATCTCCCAGGTTCTACCAAGTCCGAGTTTACCTTAAGACATCACCAAAGTTAACATCCAAAACTGAAGTCCATCTGCAAAATAGTCAAGGTGAGGTGTCTTCTTCCCAGAGTGGTCTGATTTGATGGTGCAACAACTGATGACAGACCTAAATGATATGGATTTTTGCTTTCAGTTGAGGATCTAAAATTCCCAGAAGGCATAGTTTTTCCTGCCTGCATTGTAGAAGGGTCAGCAGTGAGCAAGACGTGCCAAGTTGTATATTGTCATGAAGAGGTTGGATTGAATGACGTATTCCTCTTTCGGGCTCATGTAATTGTTGAAAGTCACAAGGTGAGATCATGTTGACTAGTAGAGGGACTTGGAGTCTTTCATGTAGCTGAGCAAGGACTTCTCTGGCGAGTGTGGGAATGGAAAGAACTGTACAGCCTTTTTTGCAATTTTTACAGGTGCTTGATGTGCTCAGTAAGGCAGAATTCCAGTTCATCATGGAGCTCTGGTTTTCTGAGCACAAGTTCGGTCCTGATCAACACAGTACAATAGCTTGTATATCAAGACGTACCTTGAATCTTCACCTCTCTCCTGTACGAGGGCTACATCACCACCTTCCTGTGCTGTTTGACTATTTCCACCTTTGTGCTGTCACAGTCACAATCCATGCTAGCCTCCTAGCCATCCACCAGCCCAACATACGGTAGGTTCCACTTTCAAGTGGAGTGAGAGCATTCAATATCCTCATTTTCTGATTTTGAGACGATGCTCTCTAAGATATGCGAATTTGGTTAACCCTTGGCATATGCCTTTGTATGTGGTGGTTATGAAGGATCACTCTGAGTGATTCTATTAACCAACTTGAGTAGTCTTATGGAGTTTTTTTTAGATGTCTTTGTAAAAATGAGAAGACCTGTCGATATGAGTGTTGGGATTGCTCTGCAAGTAATAATTGCCCCTGTGGATTTTGTTAATTCAGGGTAGAGACATGAAGCTATATGAAAATAATTTATTGATCACTCCTTCAAAAACTTTTTCCCTCTGAGGCTCAAAGCGCTCAGGCAAAAATTCATGGAGCTTCATGAAAGATAATTTTATTTCCTTATAGAAACATTAATTTGCTACTGAGAATCTGTTCTCAGTCATCCCACCATTCTGAGTCAACCCCCTTTTTGTTACTCCATGGAAATCAAATATGTGTATGAGTATTTGTATCTGTAAAGTTATAACTTTCATGTATGAATGGTCATGTGCTAATGCAAGATAAAATGAGGACATATTTTGTCATTTATACTCTCTTCACATATGAGGGAATATAGATATGGTAAAGGATGCCTTAATAACGTAGGTCTATCACTGATATAAGTCTTCATAGATTAAAGGTGGGCAAAATCAAATAATGGTTTGAAGTAATTCACATGCGGCTTGATTTGGCTCAAGTATTAGTAAATCAGATCAATCTTTTAGATATGCCTTGAGAAAGGTGACATTATTCATGATTTGATATCACTTGCTAAATGTGGATATTTGTGGGATGGGGAATGTAACTTTGGCATTGCAATACTGGTAAGGTGTGACACCAAATCATGTCATTGATCTCATGGTTGAAGTCAAACTATTGATTCATGCTTTTAACTATCCAATTCAATAATTTCCATCTTTTGGGTTTACCAGATATGGAAGTCATGCTTCAATTTGTGATATAGCCACCTTTGACTTCCCCATATCAGCACAATAATCATAATTAAGGAATTTCTCTGGGAATGTGACATGATTGCAGACAGTATTTGATCCCCTATGAACCATCATTCTGTAAATTGTAGACAGCCAAATCTTTGAGTTAATGTTACAATGCTAAGGAGGTGTTAGTTCTAGTGATCACCTGAACTCATGTTAAGTCCTTGATTGCATTTTATGCATGCCAGGAAGAGCAATGCAAATCTTCGTAGTTGGTAAGTTCTTGAAAAACTGGCTATTCTGGCATGGTTACATCACAGCTAATTGTCAATCTGTGATGGAATGTAGTGTGTGGCAATCTTGCACTCCTACTTTGCTTTTGTTGTGCAGCATGTAAAATGTTTTTCCAGCCTGCATACAAATTTGCTATATGCAAAGAATCTGTCTTGTTCATTTACAGTGCTCCACGACCGAATAGGCTGACATGGCTGAATCTTGCAGCCCCTATGGGTGAATCCATGGGGTCCATTGAAGAAGTTTTCTTTGGCAAGACAGTAAGGGAATTATGAGTACTCTGAAAGTTTTCTTGTCACAATCTCCTACCCTTCTGTTAGGGTTAGTCATGCTTGTTAAGTGCCTGCTAGGACTATAAACAGTTTTTCTGTTTCAGCATGGTCGCTGTGTGGCCTTCCCTACTTCTCAACTTGCCCAGGCTTGTCGAATGTATGAAACACTCTGTAATCTTCTGCTCCAGGCCTATGAGAGTCTTGAAAAAACTCTCAACGAATATATGCGACTTTTACCCACTCCCTCTCCTGTATCAAAGAACACTGACTGTCACAAGAAACTGCAACTTCTCACACAAAATGTGAAGGTAAGCATATCCACTTCTTCAGAAGACTGAAATTTGTATTATTGATTGGCATTCATGAGCCATGAATACATAGCTCAGTGAATGATGAAGTTCTGGGAACAGTCCAACCTTGTAGGCTTTAATATATTATAGGCTTGTGGAAATGAAGATGACTTTCTTCTGGTGGCCAACAATGACATCACCCAGTTGTGTGCTCAAAACATTTTACTATGGCAACAACTTCTCAAGGACTTTGTTGGTTGTGAGGCTGTTCACCAGCATTTGGCTCAGCAGCATCAGCATCATAGAGTGAGAACAGTTGCCTTTCTGCTCTTCTATTTCATTGTGCACATTTTCTTACAAGTAACAAAAATGACTCATGTGAAGCTAACAATGTGAAGCAGGGCTCAGGCTGTTCTTTTGCTTAAGGTACAAGTTATAAAACTTCACTGATATTTTTGAATGAGGTAAAACTTATGGACAAAATTAAAAATATCTACAAGTTAAAACTGAGTTTGATTTGCAATTTTGAAGACTTTCTTGATGGCAAGAGTGCTATCAAAACAAAGTTGTCAAATGTTCTTAATGTACTTGAGAAATAACTGATTTCATTGTGAAGTGTTATTTTTATCTGATACATGAGCTAATGAACCTCATTTGTTAAGAAACAGTCTTGGGAGTGGAGGTGTTCATGGTATCTCTATATAAGAGTGCCAATTTTGTATATATATATATTTAAATATCTATTGAATATTGTGCAAGCTTCATGGTTTTCTGCACATGACAACTCAAATGAATTAGGAAGATTTCTGTCAAGCTTCAAAAAATGTTCATCCCATACTCCTCCAAATGCAACTGCTTTTTCAGAGCCCAGCTCTATTAAAAGGCAATCTGAGAACTGCTGCTCCCCACCAAGTATTTCATTTTGGTGGGGAGCACAATGCAACAGCTAAGGACAAATGGCAGGCAGTCTGATTAAATTGGTTTCCAATAAACTTCTCATTTCTTAAATTTTTTCAAATTGAGTCAGGTGCCTCCAATTTTTGCCATTGATTAGGATGACTAAACTACAATCAAATGCACTTTCTTATTTGAAAATGGGTTGAGAAGTATTTGCACAGTGACGATTTTACTGCAAAAGGAGAAAAACTGCCCTGGGAGACACACCTATCAATGGCATTCAGTGGGCAAGCTTAAGTGCTGTCTGTTTCAGCAGAATGTTTGGAGGAGCAAGGCTCTTGTGGGGAAATCTGGGTATACCTTGTAATTTTGTCCATTGTTGGAAGTTCTCACTGTTTATCATATTCCCATCATCTTGTCTATGTATACTTTTGTGCACAAACACAGAAGTATCTTACAACATTCCAGTCTCCTTGGCTCAGGCCTTTCTGAGAAAGGACAATGGTTGGAGTCTTAGGTTATTAGATTTTTGCCTCCATAGTAGGATTAGACCTATTTGATTTCATCATGTCTACCTGAGTTAGAAATGTCAACCATGCTTCTCTCATTGCTCTAATTTTCTTATAAATTCCTTAAGAATGGAAGCTGATAAAACTGGATTTGCAAATTTCTCCCGAACTAGCAAAAATGCTGGTAAAGAAGGCAAAATTTCCCAAAATGCTCTAAATCTTAAGCTTACCCCATTGGTTTCCTCATGAATGCTCAGTTTTTTGCATGCTTTTGTAATTCTAGGTTTGTAGACATGGATGCAGTTGAAGTGATAAAATTGATTTTCTCATTTAGGTGAAGAGGTTTGCCGAAGGATTTTTCATCATTGACAATCCAAGGCAATCAATGCAAGGTGGCTATGATTGCAATTATGAAAACTATTTGTGTGTGTCCGAGAGTGTGCGGCATTCACGGTATTTCCTGTCCCTACCTCCTCTCCCTGTGGAATGTGTTGAGTTGGATGGGGATCCTTCCACTCTTCCCATCATATTTGAGGACCAGTATCAGGAGGTGCTGGAGTTCGCTCGTAAACGCAGCATAGCTAGCCATCAAAAAGTGCCAGGTATCCTACTGATTTTGTTCTGAAGCATTTGCTCTTACTGGTATACTTCAACCCAAATATATTGATCTAACTATGTATCTTTCCAGAGAAGTCCCCAGGAGCATCTGAAGTACAAATGAAGATGTCTGAGGCAAATACTGGAAGTCTGGTGGAAACCAAAAAGAAATCAAATGTGTCTGATTCAGAAAAAGTGGAAACTGAAGAGTTGCAGAAAAAGCAGTCATTCTCTTTGCCAACAGATAAAAAGTTGGTTTGGGAAAGACAGGAGACTTCTGCTGTGGCTCCCTCTCAGCAGTTGCTCAAAGAATCCATTGTAAAGGAAGTGTCATCAGGAATCAATTCTTCAGTGTCTGTTCTCAGCACTTGCAGTGATGGAACTGGTTTAAAGAAGCCCCGTGATTATGATTCTGGTGTGGCCTTCTCATCAAATGTTTCTATCAAGTCAGAAACATCAAAGCAGTTGCCACCCACACAGCCTAGTCCTCGGAGGCAGAGCCTCAAAGAGAAGTTCAAAACCAATATTCAAGTTGCTGGAGATGTGGTGAAGCCTGGGAGATCTCGAAAGTTCCTCCTTCTCTCCCGAAAACGAGAGATGAGGAGATCAGATTTGCATAAGAGTTCTTCATCATCAAATACCAGCTCTGAAAGTGTCACTCTCCTTGGATATAGGAAATTGGAACAGAGTGTGAGTGTTCCATTCAATCTAGCTCATGGTGGGTGCAAAAATGGAATTAAGCACTCAAAAAGTACCATCTCCATGCCTGGTGTCCACATGGATTCACAAACTTGCCCCGAAAAAGGGATTGGAAGCAGCGAATCAATGCCAAATCTTCTTGATGCAGCTGACCAGATTAAGGATAAAGAAGTTCTTGAAGATGCTGAGAAGTTGAGTACAAGTGAAAAAGCAGGCTCATCTGATAGCAGTGATTTGACATCAGAGCAAAGTGGATGGGTCTCCAATTCCAGTTGCCGAAGTTCTGATGGAGTTTCAAGTGGACAGAACAGCCCTGTGGTTGAATTAAACTCAAGTAATCGTGATCTTTCTGAACCTGAAAATTTACCTCCACCACCTGCAGAATTCCAGGATCCACCTAAATTGGAGCCAGTGACTGAATCTCAAGATCAAATCATGCCTCCTAAAGAATTTCAGGATCCACCAAAGACCTTGCCACGCATGAGACCACCCAGGATCCGTATGCCAGCATCAGATGATGATGTTTGCCACATATATGAAAGCATTGGAGAGTTCCAGTCAATTGCAAGGAGAAGATTAGGAAATGCATGGTCAGATGACTCAGCTTTGAAACGAGGGCCAGGCCATGCTCGATCCCTATCTATTCCTCACACATCCTCAAGGTCAGTATACTCAAACATGGCTGGGGAAAAATGTTGACCTTCTGGGATAGTATCTCTTTACCTCATCCTTTCCTTAGGCCTCTGAGGAAGTGCTCTTGCTCAAGTGATTCCCAGATCTTTACTCGAGTTGGGATTATCTGTGAATGCTGTGAGTCACGAACAAGACATAATTCCATAGCAGAGAAGCTTGTGTCTCCTATTGATACAACTACAGTCTCCTTTGTTGAAGCAAAGGAAGAATTCAAACAACAAATGGCTCTTGCTCTTTCTGCCTCCTTGTATAGGTGAGCCCTTTGGCTTCATTAATTTCAGTTATTTTTTTATTGTCTAAGTACCACTGTAATTTCCCGCTTTCCAGTGATATTCCTAGTGCCACATCTAGTCAGCCCTATTTCTCAGTGAGTAGTGACTTCAGGCCATTGCATCATAAGGGTCTTCACCTAATCATCTGTGTCCATGGATTGAATGGAAGTTCAACAGATTTGAGGCTAGTGCGGACTTACTTAGAAATGGGTCTCCCTGGCCACAATCTTGAATTCTTAATGTCAGAAGGGAATCAGGTGAGCTGCAGTTTCAATTGTCATTGTACTCTCTGATGTCTCAGTCATCATTCATATTGAATTCTCTCCCACAGCAAGGTGACACCTTCTCAGATTTTGACATTATGACAGACAAGCTGGTCAATGAAATTCTGTACTTCATTCAAGTGAATGGGTTGAAACCTTCACGAATCAGCTTTGTTGGTCATTCACTTGGTTCAGTCCTCATCCGATCAGCTCTGACCAGGCCTCAGATGAAGCCTCTCATTCCCAAGCTTCATACATTTCTTTCTCTCTCTGGGCCACATCTTGGAACTTTGTACAACAATAGTGGCTTAGTGAATTTTGGTAAGTGAAAGTGCTTTCCCTGTTTCTGTATTCTTTGTTAATTGCATCTCATGCAATATCCCATGCATCTCATGCAATAACCCATTTTGTTTTCAAATATTCTAGGACTCTGGTTCATGCAAAAGGTGAAGAAGTCAAGCTCACTGCTCCAGCTGTGTTTGAAAGATCACCCAAACCCTCGGCAGACATTTTTGTATAAGTTAGCAAAGGACTCCCAGTTGCATCATTTTCGGAATATCCTTCTGTGTGGCTCATGTCAAGATCGTTATGTGCCCCTCCATTCTGCCCGTATTGAGCTCTGTAAGGCATCAGCTAGGGATACAACTTCAATGGGTGAGTTCCATGAATCAGTCACTTTATTGTAGTTTTTGGGAGCATCTATTTCAGGAGTGCCCAAAGTGTAACCCGTGGGCTGCATATGGCCCTCAAGATAACTTGGCAAAAGCAGAATGCAGGTGCAAGTAAGACAGGATTGAGTAGGTTGTTCAGGGAGTTTGATACCTCTCCTCCTTCCTAATGCCCTTGGCCTTTTGTCTGATTGTCTCCTCCTCCCCTCAGGGCAAGTTTTTGACTTAGCTGCCCATGGCCCCAATAATAAAAAAGTTTAGGCACCCTTGATCTAATTTTGGTGGTCACACTGATTGGGCCTATCCCTGGACAAGCAGGGGTGAATCCCCACAGTCCAAACTGATGGACTATGCCATGTGAGCTAGGCAGATGGTTTATGGGGACTACATCTGTTGGCCATCTTTAATCTAGTTGGTACTGTTTCCAGAATATTATTACATATTTGAAGTTCTTGTGGAAATGTCTGAAATTAACTTGTAGAGGGAAGTATCAAGGATATGGACAGTCTTGTGGAGAAAAAAGAGTTTCAGCTATGGCTAATTCCTATTATACCAAAAAAGACATTAACATTTTTCATTCCCCTTCAAGGCTTGGCTTACAAGGAAATGGTGAACCACATCTTGCAGCCCATCATTGACAATGCAGAAATTAACATAGTGCGATATGACACTCATCATGCTCTGCCCAACACTGCAGATTCTCTCATTGGAAGAGCACCTCATATAGCAGTGGTAGATTCAGAACTCTTCATTGAGAAATTCCTCCTTGTCTCAGCCCTCAAGTATTTCCAGTGACATTCTCCCATGTGAGATTGAGTGTTGTGCCATTTATGTGTGCTGGAGAGGACAGTTGTGAATGCATAGAGAATGTGATGAGGAGGTTCTGCCAATGCAAAATGCCTCACTTTATGGTATCCGTTTCAAAGTGCAATAATGTCTGAGTGATGATCACTTCCTGGTGACATCTAAATTCATGCTGCATTGTTTTTACATTACAATATTATCTCTGTTTTGTCATTTATTTGTGGCACTCTCATGCTATCAGAGAACATTTTGTATTGGAGGTCTATAATATTCAAGGGAAGATCAGATGACAAGAAGCATAATTTAGTTCAAATCACCTTATGGTTCTCAGCAGGTTTATTTCAAGGGACAGTCTGAAAATGGCTCAGATTAAAGTTTACCATACAAGCCATTTTATTTCAGAGATATGTCTACAGCAGATGACCAATTGCTAACAGATGAGGTAGTGAGGCAATAAGTCAAAAAGGTTTCTTGACTAATTCATCTTGGCTGTGGAGTTCATTCCAGTTCATCTTTAAAAAATCAATAAAGGTAACTGCATGGAAGATGAGAAATGTAGTATGTAGTGATGAGAAGTGTAATTTCCTGAATTATGACAGAATTTAGCAACTTATTTTCTCTCAGATTTGTTGTGAAACTGATGAAAGATAGGCTAACATTCAACTTTTAATAGACGACATATTGACTATCCTTGCCCACATGCTGTTTAGATGCATTGTCTCTTCTCCATTAACAAATATTAAAGGCTAGAAATGGATGAAACTGTAAATTGCCTGACTCTACAGTCACCCTTTGATGTGGATAGGTTTAACAGTGGATGAGAAAAGAAAGGTACAAGAACTTATCATTCAGATGGTAACCAATCAGCAGACAGCAGCATAGTTCTCATCCTTCTGATCAGTTTTGTTTCAGATTGTTATGGCTGAATTCTTAACTGCTATGCTATGACTTGCTTGCTCTGAAAACTGTAACAGTGTGAAAAAATAGACAATTTTGTATTTTCATAATAAGTCATTGATCATCAAACCAAACCTATAGAAAATATGGAAGAATGATGTTATTCTCTATCCTTATATGAAAATGATTAAACATGAAATCATCTTTCCTAGCATCAGAGTATGTCAAGCATGGCTTCTATGTGCTGGCAAACAAGAAAAGGTGTAATGTGCCATTGGCCTTCACCTTGGAGAAAATTTGAGTCACCTACAGTTATTTCTATTAAAATGCTTTCCTTTATGAAGATTCTCTTTGACATCAGTGCTGATGGATGAGATGCAACTTTTTTGATCTTGTGGTTTGAAGTTCAAGCTGTTTGCCACCTGGTAATTCTTTTATATGTTCATTTTCTTTTGCAGTGTTTCAGCAAAAGGAGCAAAGTGCCTTGGGGATTATGAGGTGGGAAATGAATGAATCAGGGAATAACATGAAACTTGAGGTTTTTTGCATTTTCTTGCTTATATATTAAGATGCATCAATGGACTGGGAAATCACCACAGCCAAGATGAAAAATGTTATGTATCCCAAATTTTGAGTGCTCACACAATAATAATAGTAACAGGATTTATTTAAACAGAGAGTCCTTGGAGATAAACCTGTGATTGCCTATATATCCCTTTTGTGTCTTGAGATGGTTTGGTTTATTTGAATGAGGAACCCTTTCTATGTCCTCTAACTGCTTTATTATTAATTAATCATGCAATTCTTGACAGAAGTGGCAGCGTTATTCTGAGATCTGTTGACCACTTGAATTTTAGACATCCCATACATCTTGTGCATTTAAAATTGCATGGACACCAATTGTGATCCTTAGTCCTCAGGTGTATTTGATGGAACAATAAGTGCAATGGTTAGGTCTGGAAGAGGTATACTTTCCCCCTTCTCACTCAGATAGGAATGAAACCTGAGCATTCATTCCCCCGTTGAAGGCAAGGGGAGGGAGGGGTTCAGTAATCTGTATTTAACTATAAGTTGGCCTTGGCTGGTCTTATAACAAGGCGTATCTTGGAAATCTTGAACTTTTCCTCTCTTTAAAAATCACAACTTTTCATACTGTAATTCTAATACTGTCAATAATTGGAATACAGTGAAACTTTCCTGTCTTCTTTTGTTTCAGATTGCATATAATTTGGTTTTAGTCATGTCTTCAGAATGAATTGACGAAAGTATTAACTTCTTTGGATAATTGGTAGGGTGGCTGACATTCCTGCTTCCCTCGTTTGTTTGCTGGCATATTTATTCCTTTGCCCTGTTTTGCAAATAGTAAACTGCATTCTTAGAGTAGAAGGGAAGACTGCTCTCCTTCCATTCCAAGAACATATATGATTCCATAATGTCCACATGAGAAGCAGTTATGTTGCATATTGGCAATCCCCATTCAATTAGTAGTTTTTTGTCATCCCTTGATTCTTTGATGGAAAAATCTGTTTTGTGAAGTGATTTTTGAAGATTCTTAGATTATCCACTCTTAAGCAGTTACTGGTACTTGAGTGAAATGCTCCTGACTGACAACTCAAATATACTGCAACTTGAGGTCCCTTTCTTTCTTATACAATTCAAATTAAACTCATTATGATCATTTCATCATTCCAGTTTAATGAATTTGCTTCTGTGCATGGATTATGCTTCACTTTTAGCATTAATTCACATTACCCTTATTTGCGAACATGTTAAATGCTTGAATTTGTCAATGATCAAATTTATTATTTGCTTGCTATAGCAAGCAGTGGCACAACCAGACCGACTATTATTGGGAGAGGGTTCCCAGAGCAGGCCACCCCTACATCTACTATTTTTCTTCTTTGGGTATCAATAGAGTATACAAGTGTATGTTTATCCTGAATTGACTATTTAAAATTGATTCTGAGATTAAATTTGCTAGATTCAAATTTTTAAAATATGTAATATAAAGTGTTATACACCTTTGATTTCATGGGCTGCTATTTGAAATAGGCTAGAAATTTACAAAACCTTGAAATAAAAATTCATTGGAATGCAGCACACCAGCATGTGTACTTTTCCTAAGATTAGTCAGCCTTTTTCATGAGAAATAATGAAAAAAAATCCTTCTTTGTATGCCCATTTCTTGAACGAAAATAGTTTGTCCTATGTAATCCCTATTCATTATTTTCATAGCTACCACTTCTCATTGCATAGTTCCTGAGAATACCAGAATGAACTAGAATGAATTCAACAGCAAAGAGGCAGATCAAAGTTTGAGGTGTCATGGGACTCCAATGTAAAAGTAGGGAGGAGAAAATATCAGGAAGATGTATGATCTGCTCTAAGCTTTTGAGGCCCTCCTCCCCCTTCCTTTAGCCTGTCCAGCTGGGAAGATTTCACTGTAAATTTCAAAATTGTCAAGAGATCCTCACCAACCTGAGATGGGAAGATGAAGTTTTCCTACTGGACTGGATAGAAGGGGAGCTCCAACACCTTGAGCTTCCTCCATTGCATACACTACTATGTATGTTGCTTATATCTCATTTCCAGCTTTTCATACATAATATGAAAGAGACCTTTTGGAGAGGATTCTGAACCCACTTCATCTCCCTCCCTTCATCTTCAGTTGTGCCACTGTAGCAAGCCTATTATACTTGTAGTTCTTTCATGCTTTATAATAAACCATTTAAATGCAGGTAATTTGGTATCTCCAGAAAGCCTGCTAGAATATTTACCAAAAGTATATTTTACATTTTAACATCAAAGAGATTTATTTGATGAATTAGATTTTGTAAGTCTGAAGCAAAAAGTTTGAATAAAGTTGAACAGACCTCCCTCCTCTTCCTATGACATTTACGATATCAATCACCATCCTCAGGAGAGGTTGCATGACACAAGAAAATTTTGAGATCCTTGTATCTCCTTTGGTACTTCAAAGAACATTTGTATTTGGGAACATTCATGCATGAACCTTCCAATTGCCCTGTGTTGACTGTTGAAAATTTTCCTTCCTGAGTTTCCAGTGTAGTCTTTTTCCTGTGGAATATTGTCATTTCCAATACATTATCCATTGAAGTCTTGATTAAACCAAGCAAATTCAGGTTTGAATCAAGAGCATTGTGGTGTTGTTGGCATGCTGATTGGCAGATCTACTCCATGAAGTGTCTTCTTCAACTGGGTTATTGCTGCTGTTCTAGAGCAGAGCTATCATTCCACATGTGTGTGGGTTTGTCATCAAAAAGTAAGATGACCTTGTGAGTCATGCATGTGATAGATTCCAACTTTATCACAAATGCTTTACATTGAGTCTCAAGTTGCTTGCTGGAACTTATTGTGATGGGAACAAATGTTTTGCTCTGTAGGTGCTGGCACTTGCAAGTCTCAGTACATAATAGTATTCTATTCTAGTCAGGAGGATCAATATCTTTTATTACTTTTCAGTGCAAGAGAACTATGGTCCCAGATGGTCCCCACCCCCCTTCTTTCTTCCTGATTTTATGAAACATTCATGCATTGCAATTTTTTTCCTTTTTGAGGAACAAGGTGATTTTTTAAATTTAGTCTTATTAATACCCATACACTATTCAGCAACTCTTTTAATTTGGGACATGAATAAACTGACTGACTGATGCTGAAAGGTAATAGAGTATTGCCTGAGATGCACTTTCAAGGTCCATTTCTAAATAGAATTTAGTATAAGCTGGACATTTCAGAATACCCCTTATATTGAGGGTTAGTAAGGAAACATTGGAAATGTTGATTTTCATGTGTGAGTTTACTCCTTTAAAGCAATAAACTACCAATATGTGGCTACATCCCTTAATTTGGACCTACCTCCTATTTTATTGCTTTTCATGACACTGCTCCTTATTTATTACACTGCCAAAAGAGATGTATGATTTTGTGATGATCAGGAAAAAGGTCAGCTGCCACAACAATGCAGTATTGTATAATTATGCAATACATATATTCATTAAGAAATCAAATAAAGGCTGGCTGCACATTCTTATATGTTCATATTATTTGACACGACATGGACATGACTGGCAACTAATACATTGGAATGTGGGAGTCTAAGAAGACTTCCCATAATGGAATGCACCATGAATGTCTTGGAGAGGGAGGGGAAGTGGTAGATGTGAAGAGATTGAGTTTTTCAAGCATGCTCATTGACACCAAGTTCATAGGCTGAATAGTTTTCGAGATACAGGATCTACCTGACTCCACAGAACTCCACAACATGCTGCTTTAAGTTGGTTTAGGAGATGCTACTGATTCCTCATTTCTGCTGGAATGTCCATATGCCACCTCCATTGAGTTGTGAATGCAAAAAACCTTGGTGTGGTCTGTGGTTTACTCTGCTCATGATACACATGTGACTAATGGTTTGTCAGCATGAAAAGAGCAAGTACTTGTGGTGGTACTCAATCACCTCATGATGATCAGAGTCCAACCCTGTGTCCCAGATTGCACTCCAACATTCCATATACAACTAGCACACACATTCAAACCATTGGTATTTTAATCCAAGATCAGTGCAACGAAAAGCAAATGCAAAGTGAATACATGCCTCCCAGATTTTATACCCTTGTGTTGATGCTATTTCAGACTCAGAACAATAATAACTCCAGTCTTTATTCATGGTTAAGTCAAGGCTCCGTTCACCCCTACAAAAATCCATAATGCCCACGCGTCATGAGCTTGGTAGGAGTGCATTCCACTATTGTGGATTGCACAAGGACTGGGACAAAGTGATCAATGAGGTCATGATTGTCTCAGATAATCCTAGTCTATGCAGAATCCAGGATTGTGATATGAATCATGCAGTGGCATCATGAGCTCACTACTGCTACATTATTTTTCTGAAACATTTCCCTAGGATGCTCTGTACAGCAGGAATCTACCATTGAGGTATAACAACCTGCTTTTGGGCTTGGTGATAGTCCAGACACTGCACAGTGCTTCAATCAGGTTACCCCATTGAGAAAGATTATATATATATATATACTTTTTGCAGAGACATATGACCTTGTTTGCTGCAACTTCTATACATGTCCTCATAAACTGCATTTGTCATGCATGGTTCTTCATAACATTTTATGAAAAGAGAAAGTTCCACAAATTCCATCTATAAAATCTGTATGTGCAGTATTGACTCAAGGTTAAACTAAATTTCCACAAGCACCCAGAAACATCAGATCACTATTGTGATGCTTAAATGTCATTTCTGCTTGCAATGATGTCACATCCGACAGAAAAATGAGAAGCTCTTTGTCTTGTTCAAAAGTATGTGCACACACTAACACTTAAACACTGTTTTCAGACCAAAAACAGTAATTTCAAGCAGCACCACTGAACTTATGTTCTTTCATTGCTAGAAAAGTCAATTCCAACAGGAATGCAATAGAAGTGCCTCTTTATCCCAGATTTCATTTCAGCTACCTGGCACAGAGTGCAATATACAAAAACATGTGCAACTGCAAAATCACTGATCCTTTGTGTTTGCTAAGAATTTTTCATATGCACAAAAGTCACCATATCAAGAACAGAGGGGATCTAAATAATATTCAACAGTTTGCCTGACATCACTCATGTTGATGGCAATCTACACAATAGTTAAGCTGTGAATCACCATGAAATTCATATCACAGATTCATCACAACTGGAAAAAACTGGAATACCAAAGACTCCTTCATGTATACACCTATCTACATTGTGATAATGCAGAAACCCTTTTCACTTGAAATAATAAATATAGGGCTTTCTAAAGGATGCAAGGAATCACAAAAATGGAAGAAGGCATGAGATGGATGGGTTGTTCTCAGGTACTTAGAGGAAACAGGTAGAGGAAAGTATAGAAATCATAGTATCACATGTGACCACACATGAATGAAGGGGAATTCATCCATCAGGGGTCCAAAATGGAATTGAGATCTCAGTGGCTTCTAGAAGGAACTTTAATGAAATTCCAACTGTGATAACCTTTTGCTCCTACCCCTCCACATCATGGCTGAGATGTTAATGACTATTAACAGCGGTATAATGGTGCTTTGGGGAAACAAAATGGTTATGTTGCTCAATGACTCTTACTTTACTTTATGTTCCATGGTTACCCATACATTATTAAGATATAAATTTTCCAATAGTTGGATGAAAAATAAATTTGTAGAGACAAAGGTACATACAACAGCAACAACAAACTGCAATATTTATACCACAACCTCAAATGCTTAGCCCTACATTATGAAATTTGGTTGCTGTCCTGAAAGTACCTTTTTTCCATGTAGCCACATACTTTTAGCAGTTAGAACAAACAAGGGAAAAGCTTTCGGGACATGGAGAAAAAGAACTACTTTTACTGGCATCTGCTATGATTTTAAAGTGTACTAGCATAGAATATGAATAATTCAGCTGCTGCATGTGTCTTTCTTGCAATGCAATTGAGTCATTCCACATCAGAGAAACACTTCATGAAATATGACTTTATTGATTTGGATTAAATTTATACCAATGCTCTGTGCCATTGAGAATTACATTCTTATTTGCTTTAATCTCAAAATAAGGAATTAAAAAAAAAAACTGCTTGTGTTGTGACTTGGACCCCAGAGAGTCCCTGTGACCTTCCTTTGGAATTTGTATTTTTTGTGGTCCAAGATGGTTAGTCATAGACTGGTTTAAAGCTCCAATAAAATTAGAAGAGAAGTTATAAAAATAATGAATAATGGTACTGCCGTGTCACAAAACAGGCAATACTTTTATGACCCCTGATTTTGAGATCAAATTAAACAAGGACTTTAAATTGTTGGGTGCTTCATTTTTTCAAGTTTTTGAGCATTGGCTCAAGTTTAATCAAAAAGGGAGAAAGTCAAGTTTCATGATGTGTTTATTAGAAGTGGAAAGACCTGATAATTTTTTCAATTAGACATGATTTGGTATGGAAATAAAATCAAAACAATGTGTGTGTGTCATGTAAGGCTCATAGATAGAAAATAATGCCATCACCTAGAATGCAAGTACTTAGACAGGTGAGGTTTCAGCTTTGACACAAACATGCCATGGTCATACAAAGTAGCAAGAAGCCCATGTTGAATAACTGGATCAGATTCTGCTGAGAAATCAATCTCTTCATCATGAAGAGTGGTAACTTTCCCTCCCATTGCACTAAGAACAGCTGTTGCAGCACAAGTATCCCATTTTTTTATGGCTGTCAAATGGATGTAAGCATCAGCCTTCCCCTGTATGACTTCCAGAGACTTGAAACCTGGAACATTAAATGACATTAAAGAAGACAGATACTAGAGTCTCACAACAGAAGTGTCCTGTCAAGTACTTTAAGATTGCTAGCTTCAACCAGTCATCAGAATGCAACCTAGGGCCTGATATGAATGAAACCAAACAAAGAATGCTCACCAGCTCCAGCAGCATCATGAACTACTCCAGCAGATCCAAATGCATCTTTCACTAGGTTTGTCACTTCTCCTTTGTGACTTATGGATACAGTGATGTTGTAGGCCTTCCCTTCCTGTCATTCATGGGAAAACTCCATTAAATAAAAAAAAACACAGACTCACTATTCTTGTAATTGGCTGATTTCAAAACTGGAATTCAGTTCTAGTTTCAACAACTTGGAGGGAATGCATTACTCCATGCACAGTGTAAGTTTTGTGATAATAGCTCCAGTAAGAGCAGAGATATGCAAGTCAAAAGTTAAAAAAAAAAATTTATTCACCCCACACTATAACAAAGGATTTAAAAAGTCATCAGCTCACACTTTTTGCTGCCTTATGCAGATTATCAGATGTTCCCCTTCCAACCCATCCCCAGAAAGTTTCTTTCTGGAATGGCCTATGGATCACACCTATGACTGGAATTCCATTGACAGCTATGCACACCATTGTAGTCACATATTGAAGCAGATTTTCTAAAATGATAAGTCACATGGAGAGACATCACTCTCTCAAATGTAGGCAATTTCAGGTCACATGAATGTGTTAAAATGATAGCACAGAGCCATAACCTCTCAAGACCCGGGTGGCATGTACATGTAAAAAATCTTATGGGTTTTATTTTTCCTGGATTTGAATTATCATAGGATATTACAACAATGCTTCTTAGAATGGGAAAATTAATGCTAAAATGAAGAATTAAATTCATTTTCACTTGCAAGTATTGAGATGAAGCAAGATTCACTGTCTACCTGAATATTCTTTGGTTGCATCTAGTGGGTCAATCCATATATCTATGTTGTCCTCAGGTACAAACTGATCCTCAACACCCAAGACAACATCATCCACATAAGGATATGGGACTTGGCTGACATCCATATCCTTTGCATCATGTTCCTCACTGACAATCTGTGTGCAAAAAAAACAGACAATGCCTTGAAGAGGTGGTCATTAGACAACTTAACAAGTTCCAGTCATGACCTAATTCATAGATTTCAAGAGGGCATCAAATGTATGAATATTCTTGAATCTGACACATGCCCAACTTGGCAATACCAAATTGGATTAGTGCATTTTGCTCTTCACTAGAACTTCCCGAGAATAACATTGGAAAAACAAAAAACATCAACTTAAATTTCAGTAGCAGCTGGTAAAAACATTGGTCATGTGATCTTTAAAAGTTTCAAGTGTCATCTGAAGCCCTGCTCAATACTGATTGACAAGCCATTTAAAACAACTGCAGGAAATCATAACTTACGAGGTGTGACAAAGTTCCAGGACTGATAGATTAGACTGTTGGGAAGTGTTATGTCAGTCCTCATCTGACTACCATCTTGAATGAGAGTTTGGCTGGCAATGTAGCAACTAGTGTGAAAGACGTCTGTCATATTTCCAGAGTGAAGCAATGCTTCATCACATTTTGTCTCAAACTGGTCAATACAGCTGCAGTAATCCATCAAATGTTGTAGAAGTGTCTTGGAAAGTTCCTTGTTATGTTCCAATAATTTTGAATGACCTTCAAGGCCTCTAGCAAGTACTGAAGACACTCAGATCCACCTCAACCCCAACCATCACCAACCATTCACCCAAGGGATGGCTAAACCAGTCATTATTTTCAATGTCATTTCTACTGGCTGAAAGCCTTGAAAACTCTTCAAGATTCTTGGAGTATGCCAAGACAACTTGTCAAGACACTTCTTGCAACATTTGATGGATTGCTGCAGCTGTATTCCCTGGATTAAGACAAAATGCGATGAAGCATTGCTTCACTCTGGAAATATGACAGACGTCTTTCACACTAAGTTGCTACATTGCCAGCCAAACTCTCATTCAAGATGCTAGTTAGATGAGGATTGATACAACACTGCTCAACAGTCTAATCTATCAGTCCATGGAATGAAAATAATTTCTGTGATATTGACAGACACACAAAAAAAATCAGTCCCGGAACTTTATTGTCAGACCTTGTATGTACAGTTAAACATACATGGGTTGAATATTATGCATACTGAGACTTGGCATGTGCACACCAGCCTTGTGTTGAGGCAAAGAGATCAAGAGTAATTATTATTCATGCCTCTTGAGGTCTCACAGCAGCAGCAGCAAGTGGAGGACAAAAATGGGGACCTATAAAATATTTGTCTGAATAACATGTCAGTCTGCTTAGCCTACTTATTTTGACTTTGCATTACATTTTTATTGTTCTAAAGGCCATAAAAGTTAGGCAGGCATTACTTTTGATTCCCTATGGGTGTTGTAAAACAGCTTGCAGCATTCATTTTTGATTGGACAGAGTTTTCAGATAATGCCTGACATTTAAAATGCATTGCCAGTATCTTTACCAGCTGCCACCAAAATTCAGGGAGACATATTTTTTTGCCCACTCTGTATATGAAATAATCCTAGAGGAAAAGCTCATATACAAAGTCCCTCCATCTGCACTGCCAAATGAAGCAGTGCAGAGAAGAAATTTATGCATCACTTTCAAAATCAGTACCTTTTCTAACTATTGCTGACAGATCATTCAATACTGAGTTGGCAAAATACAAGTCTTAAAAAACTTTAAAGTATAAAAAGAGCCGAGAGTTTGAAACTGTCACTTGACTGTCATTGCTATAGTCATATCTTGACTGCTTTGGGTCTGGGCTTCATTTGTGGCTTAGTGCATCACCTTTCATTGGTTCATAAATGTGACAAAAAAAAATCTAAGGCAACCAATCACTTAGAAAATAGACAACTTCAGTTACTGTAAATCTAGGGCCAAGCTTTTTTGTTCAATGACTGACACTGAATGCATTGATGGTATTGTCAACTGTATTCCATCGGATAAATGTTTTCCTAAACCTAAATGTTAGACTATGTCCTTTATTAGTAAATGACCAATTAGTAAAATATCACTCACTCTTAGATTGGGGTAAACAGTTTTCAAGGTGTAATACATGAACATGTGGGACAGAGCATCTCCATCAGTTACAGGATCATTCACACCTTCTTTGGTCTTCCCTTTGGATTGTAGATGGAGATCTGCCTTTGCACGCACATCCACAACTTTGACACCTCCTCTTTCTGCAGCTTCAATGCCAACTTTGAGCAAATGACCCAAGCTGACAACAGCTGGTTGTGTGTGACGTGTAAGAAAGTAAACAAAAAACAAAACTCCTACAATAATGCATAACACTCTCACTCCATTGGCGTTCAGTTTCACTGCCATACTTTTCAGGCCTTCCAGATTCCTGAAATAGCAGAACAGGCATGTCATGTCTTCAATATCACAGAGAAATTAGACAAATTCATGCTACATTCTGAGTTTGTCCATAAATTCTCAAAGTGCTTTCCCAAATGGTAGAAACCGCCCTCAAAATATGAGGCTGGGAGTGCATGTATGTACAGAACAGCTGAGATGATATAAGAGCTACTACAAGAAGTAGCTCAACTTCAATTATGATCAGTTTTCCATGGCAACCAATTCAATCAGATTACTTAATCAATAATACAAGATAATGTGTTTTTAAAGCAAAAATGATCAAAACCAGGGGTTGCACTAGGTTTGTAGCCATAGAGGGTCCCCAGGACCCTCAAGTCTGATATGGAAGGGTCCTCTGATTATTAAGGGGGCAGCTTTCCAAGTGAAGCACAAGAGAATCCAGCAAAGTCCAGCAATCCACGCCTATTTGCTGACTTAACATAATCAAGCGGTATGACATTCAATCCAGCAGTCTTAGGTGTTCTGCCTGTGCATCCTGGGGTCCCCCTGGGACCCCCAGGATGCATGGGCAGGAGGCCAGGGCAAGAAACTTAGTGCAACCTCTGACAACTTGTTACAAAAAGGCACTAAAACCTCCTCTATATTGGTCTCCACCAGGGATATGAAACAAATATTTCTTTAGTGTGTGCTATTATTAAGCTAAAATCTGTGCTTTAGTCTAGGTCAGAAATGATTCATGTGGGACTAATGAGGCAAATGTTGAACCGTCCAGGAGAGTCATATGGTGCAAGTGGGCAGAAGATGAGTTGTATGGTGTAATTGGTTTTAGAAGGTTTTAGCCAACAGATATTGAGCATTGATTAGACTATCACAGAACAAATATGCCAGATGTATATGTCTTAAACCAGAATTTTCAATGCAGTACTACATTATACTTTGCAGAAAATTAGTTTAGACATCTCCACTGTACATGTATATAAGTCATTCCATGCTAAATATAAAAAGGGTACCCATGAATGAAACTTTTCTGATTTATTAGAGAAACTCCCACCAATGGTTCATTTGATGTCTAGTTCTTCAGATACAGGGTGGCCCAAAAAAAAACACCAATTGTGAAGTACATGAATTAACACTGCATACTTCTTGCTAATCCTCATTCTTTTCTCTCTTTTCAGATTTTAACATGTAATGCAGTTAAATAAATGTACCCTAACTCAACTATGGCACAAGAAAGGTTCCATCAGCTGACAGTTGAACAGCATGTGTGAGTTGTAGAAACATACCTATCTAGTCCAGAAAAAAGGAAAGTACTCAGTAGTCTGTGAAATGTTCGAGGCTGAGTTTCCTGGACATCTTCAACTGTATCATGTTTGGTAAAGAAATTCTGAGATAAAGGGACATTGAAGAACCAGAATAGAGGCAATAGTGGCCACCATAAAACAGCATGCTCACCAGAAAACATTAGACAGGTCATGAACCATTCCCCCAAAAAGCGACTTGCAGGCTCTCACAGCAAAATTCTGCAGAATTCTCAAAATTAACTCTGCAAAAATATGTCAAATTAGTGATTGATAATTTGCCATGCAATCATCCAGTCTATTGTAATTGTGTCAACAAATAGCAAGTTATTTTCTTTCCTTTATTTCTCAGCAATTTTGCATAAAATCGTAATTGGTGTTTTTTTTGGCCACCCTGTATAAGGTCATAAAAATTCAGGCCAAAATTCCTTCTGAATGCAACCTGATGCAATCTTTCCCATTTAACATCAGTCCTAATTGAGCAAGAGAGTTCAGTCCAGCACCTCCCGCTTGATGGCTGACAAAAGAATTTTCTATAATTAGTAGTAATGCTTGTTCTATCTTTGATACCATTAGTGGCAATACTCTTGTACTGAGGCTGCTCAAAACATCCAATTAAATTACTCTGTGTATGCCTCAATTCTTCAAAAAATCCATTCAATACTTTACTTACTAAAAGTACTTTTTAATACAGATAGTACTGCATATTTTAGAAGCCTTTTGTTGCCTTCAGAGATGCCCATAGGTACCTCATTTTTGCAAATTACCAATTTGCATTACCTTGACTTGCATGTTGAGGATAAATACCATTCAATACCTGTTGAATGTTGAAAAGGTACACTGAGAAGCTTCAAGACAAAGTCAAGCAAATGTATCAACACAAACTTTGGAAGTGTGAATTTATGTGCAGAGGAACTATATTAGACTAAAATATCATTAGCAAGGCATCACCATGCCTTATAATTAAGGAGTTTTCTAGAAAAAAGGTGTAAGTACCCATACACCCTTTTTCCATATTCGTGTCCATGGGCTGATTTAGGTGACTTGTCATTGGATAGGGTGGTCAGCAGGTAGGTAATATGCATATTCAGCAAAGGATAAGCAGATTTTCTATGCTTACACTACATGGCAAGCCAACTGCCTCACAATTTCAATATAGCCACCTCCATAAATATTTCATTAGCATCTGTATCACTGAATGCTTTCAGTGGAATATTTCCATTCTCTCTAATTGAAAATGAGAATGAGGAAGAAACCAGATGAGAGGAAAGGGGAAGAAAGAGGCAGAGTCATCCAAACCTCTGGAAGGATGCAAGAAGTTGGCGATATCTATGAAACAGTTGGAGATTCAGATTATGAATAAATTAACAATAGATCACTGATGAGTAATTGGTGAATTAATCTTGTCTTGAATATTCACATTTTTATTGTCATTCTTTGAGGAAGAGTTGATTTGAAATCTGTAGGATAAATATATTGGTAAATTATGATTTTTAACTGGAAAAGAGGGGGTGAACAACTGGTTGGAAAAAGCTCTAGCAGTGCAGATATGGAAAAGGGGCACAAGTGCATTAACACTTTCTGCTTGCATCCCTGCAATGTGGGATAAAGAAATTCTTGGAAACCCCAAGTTCAATTGAGAAAATGTCTAAGATACCATTTGAGTGAATACTGAGTTTTGACCAGCAGCAGATTAGCTATGGGAAGTTTTTGCTGTTTATCTTGAATTGCATTTTTTGCACTTGTGCCCTTTTTCCAGAGAACTCCTCAATTGCATTCTTCCTTTAGTAGAGAAGGGGGAAATAAAATTTGATAAATAAAGAATACAGACTATAATACAATAGATCAGACTTTAAATCTTGATTGATTAGCAACCCTGTGTATGCAACTTGGAACCAAGCCAACACCAGTGACTCATGCCAATACTAATGTATTGTGTAAATACCAATGATTCATATTCTGAACAGAGGTAGTCTTGAGAAAATGAGCGTTGGGAGATCCTGTGATAAATGGGGAAGGCTTTGTAGTAAAGCAAACCATCTGCAGAGATGAGGTAGCTTCTCTCTATCCTGCATACTCAAATGACTCTAGAATGAAACAAGACCCAGGCCCTGTTAAGGATAGAGGTAGTGGATTGAAAGCTTGCATGCATGTATCACACTTACCAGGATTGGGTGAAGAGCATAAAATAGTGCAAAATCTCCCAAAGTCATATGATGTCCAGCAATGAAGCTGTTCCTGCCAAACTGTTTCTCTGTTTCCTGAAAAAAGGGCAGTGAGCAGCAATATTGATCAAGACAGTTTACTATACCTCACATATATGAATCATCATCAAATTACAATAATAGTAATGATCAACAATGAACAATCATTACCTTCTCATTTAAAATTATCTCTTGAGAGGGTGACAAAAGCCACACAATAATTCCCACATTCATAGCCACAAAGAAAGGTATCATATTTGACAAGTGGTACATTTTCATTTTCTCTAACATTTCCAGCTGTAATTCAGGTCAAGCTCTGCTGGTGGCACATGGGAAACAGGTCTGAGTAAGGCCTCAGGACAATTAAAAAAATGTAATATATGACTGACCTGCAAATCATCTTCACTGAAGGCTGATGAAAATTCCAACCACTGCTTCACAAGAGCTTTTTCCTCTGCTGTTCTGCCTATCCATTCTTCATTTATTGTAGAAGCCAAGTACCAAGCAATTGCTCTTATCCCTTGGAGCCTCTTGCCATTTTCAAGCACAAGTGTTGGTCTCTGAATGGTAGAAAGCAAACTATAGCACTTCAGCTCCTCCAACACTGTAGCTCTAACTATTTTATGGCAGTCAGATGTAGCATTAAACTTTCAAAAACAGATCAAAAGTAGCTAGTAGAACTAGCTTACTAAAACTGGGAAACTTTATAATTCACTTGCTTCCAGAGACAAGTATTTCCTCATGCTAGCCTATATTATCTGCTACTCCATTCTTCATTGCTGCAATGAAAATTCTTGAGCTCAGCAATGCTGGTCAGCAGAGGTTGATACACGTTATCTTTAACAAATCTCCATCCAAAGGGGTGAGATCTGGCAATTGCAGAGGCCAAATGAATGGATCTCCATGGCTGATCCTACATCCTGGGAATTCTTAATCCAAAATTTTCTCACCACACAATGGAAATGTTCATGGTGCCATCTTGTTGGATGACAATATTGTCCCATGTGTCTTCATCCAATTGTGGTACTAGAAAGTTCTTGAACAGGGCTAGGTTTCACTTGAGTAGTAAAACTTGTTTCTTCAAACCATAAAACTGGTTGCTTTGCACGGCTGGTTTGCTTTCTCAGCCCCCTTGCTATCTGGAATTTTTGTTTACATGGCTCCTGCACTGCCAATAGAATGAATGCAAATTTGGTATCCATGCAGCACAAAACTTGAAGTACTTTTTATCTTTCTATCATAATCCATTTCAAATAAATCATGAGTTTCAGCTTGTAAAGATACTTTGAGAAAACCTTGTATATAGAGACTGGTCTTAGGATTTAGTTAGTACACCTAATTTAAAGTGACAAATATATTACAAAAAAGCAAACAAGATCCACTGTTTCTGGATTGAATTCATTCCCCTCCTGGGTAGTGGAGAAAAGAGGAAGCAATAATTCCAGAACATCTACTTCTACTAAGATTCATGGCATAACATTCAAGCAGTTAGATAAAGATTATAAGAGGTGACACTAGAAAAATGAACAATAATTGTGAATGTGCAAGTGAAGGAATAGATGTCACCTGGAGCACATCTTCCAGGGAACTGGTGATTGCATTTTTCAAGTGCTACCTCAGTTATGCTGTGTGTGTGCGTAACTGCATCAGGATGATGAAATGGATCTTAAATCTTTTGACCAGTGAAAAGGTAGATAAATGTTCTGTATAGAGATGCTACAGCAATATCTCCAAACTCTTGAGAAACAGTGCTGCAAAGTTTTAAAGGTAACCCTATATTTTTTGGCCGACCCTGTATGTACCTATGAAGGTACGAATTCAATTTGAAAACAGGGAATGGATCACCATGGAGAAGTTCAAGAGAACAAATTATGTTATCATTGGATCAGAGAATGAAAATGGGGCCACCTATTTTCAAAATAAATCTATATTTTGGTTATTTGATTGTTTTCAACAATGGTAGGATGGGATAGCTCCCGAGGGTCTTTACTCAAGTCTTTTTGCAACACTTCTTTCAAACAATGCCCTGTGCATGTGCAGTGATGCGTGGCATTTACTTTCAAATGAAGTTTTAAAAAGTTAGTGTTTCACTCTTGAGTGATGCTAATGATGGGTCTTGTTGTCATTGACAAAAACCACCTCTCGAAGGAATAGCCATAGTACTAGCATTAAATAATAATTAAAAAAACCGCTAACTCCGTCAAGGGGGGCTACCATCATGGCTAACCGAATTATAAAGAAGGTAATTCAAGTTAGTTTTAGGATTAATGACATACCTCGTTGACATTCTGCAAAACATCAAATCGTACGTCACTCGATGTTGCAGATAGAAGGAACCTCACAAGGTTGAGCTGTGGATTGGTCTTGCACACCGCCTGTGATGCGAACTCACCGTGAACGGCAGGTGCCATGCTTGTAACGAATCAAACATGACGCGCTCCTGGAGAAGGGCATTGGCATCGTGCCTGTCCGTAGCCTCGCCAACGCCTAAGAGCTTAAGCCTCAGTCTCTGGACTTCAGTCTTGGTCTATCGTCTATGGTGTCTCACCTAGTGATCACCCTGCCCCAGGGCCTTAGATTTGACAACAATCAAGGTATTCATCTGGGATGCAGCTGTGCAGTGGAAATACTTCTTTGTCTTCGAAACTGCCTGCACTTGAACACTAACTTTAAAATGGCTTTCTGAGGCAAGACGTAAGGAAAATTACTACAGTGGCGCCATAGGTACTGCAAAGTTACGTATTTAAATTGGCACTGCATGTTTTGCGTTCATGGAAATGGATGTCTCTCCCTACAGCTAGCAAGATTCTGGGGTTTCTCAATGAATGTATTCACTACCATCCATTTTAGAAAATTATGGATCGTTTGTCCATTTACTATTTGGAAAATAGTCCTTGGCCATGGATTACTTTCTACCGACTAGCCATTCTTTGCCTATTTATTCTTGGGTTGGATTGCATGTAAATTGATGATTCAGTTGGCCAACAAGAAGAGAAAAAGTTTATTTTATAATACAGTAAAACCTCGCTAGTATGGACTAATAGGGGGAGGGGGGGTCCGGATTAGCTGAAAGTACTGACAATCCAAAATATATAGAAAAAAATGCCATGTAAATGAAGCAAAGTAGACCTACAAAATCCAAAACAGTACTTTATATTAACTTTGTAAATGATCAATAAGAAATGCAAAATATAAACTTTATTAGCTTAAAAGGGGTTTTGAGAACTATATATTGTACAAAGGTTACTGCACTGCTTTTCACACAACACATTTTATTCTGAGTCACTCTCTTATCTTAGTCTGGATTAACCAAAGTCCAGACCAGTGGGGTCCAGATTAACAAGGTTTCACTGTACTTTGATTCCCATAAAGCAGCCTTAGCCTCTCTTGCTATAGGTAACCCAAACCCATTCCTTTGAGTTGATGCAAAAAGTCTTGAATATTAATTTCATAGGCCTAATTAAATCATATTCAGTGATTACCTATTCCTAATTGTATGCATAAATGATTTTTTGAACAATGAACAGTACCAGGATAGGTCCTCAGACTTATTGGTTGCCCTATTTTATGGATCATGTTCAATCTGACCCCTGTAGTTTCTGAGTGATACATTAATCATTTTAAACTGATTCTTCCTTTTCACTTTCTCATCCACAGCTGCAGAAAAGTATTTAAATATGTAATAATTACTGCTGCAGTCATGAGCCCTTTTCAACATTGTCTGGTAAGCAACTTCATAAAGCAGGCCACACTATTATCCACTTTAATGGCCTACAGGGCTTACAAAATTTTCTATGGAAGAGAACTTAAGTTCATTATGTCCTCACTCCTTCTAAGTGCAATATGCACTTCTCACTTGAATTTAATGTGAATGTAACTGCATCATTATAAAATATTAGAAACAAGTGTTTTTGCTAGTGTCTGTTATCACTCTAGGGTTTCATCACTGGTTAAAATAATTACTCATTAGTAATATTTTCTCTGATTTGTAGTGAAGTTGCTGCAATGGATTAAAGCATTCCATTGCTATCCAAAACTGGGGATGAAGTTTCAGTGTTCTGCCTGTGTGAAAAGGCAAAATAGTGAAAATGAACAGGGTTGGATTTCTGTATTAATATATGATAATCTTGATACATTGCCTATTTAGGTTTCAAGGTATGCTTGAAATGGGCATGAATTCAATGCTATTGATATGATGCTTGAATAGTGGTTTATTCTAGGCATTCAGAATAATAACCACTCATATGGCATGCATTAAAGTCCCTGAGCAAAAAGTGATATTGTGTGGTGAATATGGTGTTGGGAAGAGTTCAGTCTTTCGGAGGTATGCCATGAATACCTTTGTTGCAACTTCAGACAGAAAGTCCACACTTGGCCTCGATCATTATGAGAAGGTGTACTCTGTATGTGGAAAAAACTTAAAGGTTGGTTGTCCTATTTTCTGGATCAAGTTCCAACTGACCCCAGTAGTTTCTGAGTGATACATTAATCATTTGAAACTGATTCTTCCTTTTCACTTTCTCATCCACAGCTGCAGTTATGGGATACAGGTGGAATGGAACGTGTTGCATCAGTGACATCAAGTTACTATAAGTTCTCAGAGGCAGCAGTCTTGGTTTTTGCACTTGATAATAGGGACTCCTTCAACCTTTTGTCACAGCACTTACTGGAAGTTGTGGCATTTGCTGAAAATGCAAAAATATTTTTGTGTGGGAACAAGATGGACTTGACCAATCAGGTTCAAGTTACAGAAGCAGATGTTGATACTTTCTGGTAAGTTGGTGAGATCTGATGGATTTCTGAAGCTATATTATTTTAAATTACTAGGGTTCTTGTTACCTAGTCCCAGGCTAGGAAAACCCTTGCAAACCTATGAACGAGATTAGCAGGAATGGAGACACAGGCAGGCGGCCCGCTTAGTCCACTTGCATATCCTTCCCAGGAAATGCCTATTGGTCGCCTCAGGTTCACAGGGAAAAAAAGATTTTTCCTACACTGCCTAGTCCTGATTTCTTTTTTTCTGTTTACCTGACTCCTTTCATCCATGTGAAATGTAGAGTTCTATATAAATCTTATCAGAGGTGTTCAGAAGTCAGAAGTGAAGTGGTATAGCCAAGACATTTAGAGTTGCACACTTGCACAGAGGCACGATTTCCGGCAAATTATTTCCCATGTGAATAATAAGCTGCTCAGGTGAATAATAAGGACAGGTGAAGTAATAAATAGGTACTTGGGAGAGAACTTTTTTGATGATGAGCCAAAGGGGTGGCCAGCCTTACTCTCCCCCCATACCTCGTTCACAAGTGAGAGAGGTACCTTATCTTCTCTTTTACTCCTCAATTTGTTCCATATGCTTGCTTAGGGCCAGGAAACTACATAACAGAGACCAAACTTAACTTCAGGTCCAACAATAATAGGTACAATCTGGTACCACAAAACAAGGCCATTTTTTCAGCCACAGCTTTTTTTAGGTTTCTTCCTTCACATAGTTGGGGTTGTTTTTAGGTGCCATAAAAATTGGCCTACAGCATTTTTGGAAGTAGCAGACACGACCCAAAAATTGGCTGTACAGCACTCAAAGGGTTAAATACAGTGCCCTTGCCACAGAAATAGCATTTTAAGGAAACGGTGCCTTTTTTTTCTAATGCTGATGCCAATGAAAAAATAAAGAACATAAGGTTACCTGCAGAGTGTGCAAATGTGTTGGGCCAACACCCTTCCATTGTCCCCAGCATCCCCTCCTTGGAGATCAGACATACCTCTATAATATCCATTGTTTCAGCCCATCCAGCCCTGACCCCCAGAGTGAATCCCTTAGTTAAGGATATATTGAATAAGGGTATTTCCTCCCCTCCGCCCCATTATTGTACATGCAAATTATAGGAAGGAGATTGCTGTAACTTTAAATTAAAAGTCTAGACTTTATGTCGCCCAGCATTCCCTTTGGCCAGCCCCCTCAGATGGGCAAGGAAGGCTATGTGGACCATGGACACTGCCTGTACCACTTGCAGTACTGGCAGTACTAAACTGTCACATGCTGTACCGGCTTGCCTGCTTCAATGATTTTCTAAAAGGAACCCTGAGCATAGTACACTTGGCATTTGATGTGGTACCATTATTTGTGTCTTGACTCTGTTTTTTATCAAAGTTTTTTGTCATTTGATGGAAAGTTGAACACTCGACACCGTTTCAGGTTTAAAAAATAAATAATAAATAAATAATTAAAAACTTCAGGATTACAGCATTTGAATTCAGAGTCTTAGTATTTCATATTTTTCATTCAAAATTTATTGATTGCCTCTTTCTGTTTCATGTCTTCCAGTGAACAGTTCCACAATGTTGTGAGTGCAGTGTATCGGACATCCTGCAAGACTGGTGAAGGAGTACAAGAGATGTTTGCTGATATCGCCAAACACTTGGTGACACAAAATCGAGCACGCATGGAGTTGGATGCTTTAGAGCAAGATTCGTTCCAATTATTACCTCATGAAGAAAACTCTTCAGAACAATGTTCATGCTAGTCACTTGTCAAATTAAACTTGCTGAAGTATGTTTACCTTTGTTCTTGGCTTTTGTATAGAGGATGAAGGCTGTTAGGCACATCTTTATCGTAATGGCAGCCAAGAGATGGAAGAAAGTGTGAGGAAATAGTGAATGGATGACAGGGTCCTGGTGAGATTGGAGGATACACCATCATGTTCCCATTTTATGTTCCACCAAAGATGTCTCAGAGCTACCCCACTCCAGAGACTTGATTAATATGGCTTGGCATAGATTGATTTCTTCCAGTTGTAGTCATTACCTTAGGATTCACTTCCCTCATAGCATGACTTTTTAATCACCCCATTCTATTAGCACCAAGGCTTCTTAATTATATATTCTCTCACTCGCACTCTCTGACCTCTCCCTCTCCATCTCTTCTCCTCTCCCCTTTCATTCTTTACTGCCTTGGCTTTTCTCTTGGATGGGACATACACAGTTCTTAGGAAGAATTGTGTCATGGGATCATGTTGATGTGCACGAAACCAAGCCATCACTGTCTTGTGAGAAAATCCCCAAATCTCCTCTGACATGTAATTGCACCTATTCCATGAAAAGCCTACTTCCTAGTAAATGTTTAAATCCTTTAATTTATGTCTCTGATCACTTGAGACATTTATAAGTTACTGATTAAATGATTGCTGGTTGGTCTGTTAGTTTGTAAATTTTTTCTAATGCCCCACTGATGCAGACTGAGTTGGTTCTTTTCTGCTAACAGTATTGTTCATTTTTGCTCACTTGGTGATGTCACTCAACTAGTTCTATTTACCACAGAGTGCTTGCTTTCAGGTGATCTAATGCCAAATTTCCTAAATGGTGGATCATGTACACTTGATTCTTGAAGCAGTGCTTAATTTGAACTGGAGCTGTCTGTGCACAGCTCCAGTTGAAATAATACCAGA